TGGGATTAGGGCTAGGGCTATGTGACTGGACTGCATACTGCATAGTGCATACGAGTACGTTCAGGTGGGCATGGACCTCGAAGTTTTTCCTCTACCAATTGTTGGTACAAGAAGGAAAATCTCAGTTGCCTGATGCCTCAAATCCACGCCTCAAATCCACGCAAATTCAAGTGAGCAAATTACCTCAAAAAGCAACAAGCCTTGCCATACAGGTAGGGCTGCTAGCTTCTACCGAGGGACAGATTTCGGCGCTTCCTCTGGGTCGTACAATTAGAGAGGGCCTAGCAGCGTTTTCTACCTATATCCAGATTGTGCCACCGCACAACATTCTCTAATTACGCTCGTGTATAGGCCTCGATCCCGGGGAGCGGTGGACCAAGTATAAGAGACAACGCCCAGGCGATTTGGTGCCGTACTTGTACTAGTACGCTGGCATGGTCTGATACATGCCTACATATGTCTAGGAGCCATAGAAGCATGGGACCAACATAGAAGTTCCCCATAATCGCAAAGGTTCCTCCTCGCGATGATGCAGCTGTCTTGTTTGAAAGATACCCTTATCGCTTATCGTGAAAGGGTTCGCGCCTTCTCATTCCTAAGATGCGTGGTTTGTGCGTGATTTTGCCACAAGAACGTCATCCAAAATAATCCATTTTAATATATAGCATACAACGACAAACATATTCTTTAAAAGAACCTTCTTCATTTTTGCTTCTTTTTTCCTCAAAAGCACTCGTCGGCGCCGACGTCATTTTCCTGCTTCAAAATTGTGCTTCGGACGCTTAAAAGGTTCCCACTTTGCAGTGGCACGGGCCCTCCACCTTACTTTGCTTGTCTTGCGTCAGTAGTCATGAATAGCACCGCTGCTGTCGCGTGGAGCACCACCATCCTTGTCAAAAACATTCACTGCGCTTCTTGCGTAACTTACATCCAGAGAACTCTTGGTCGCTTTGGCAATGCGATTCATCAACTTGACACCAATATCCTTTCCCATGAAGTCCGCATACTTCATGAGAAGACGTTGTCTGCCTCAGAAATTTGTCGCTCCCTATCTGATGCCGCGTTCGAAGTTTACAGTGCGGTTACACTGGATGAAAGCGAACGCAGAGTTCAGGAGCTTGGAGCTGAAGACAGTGGAGACGGATGGCTTGAAGCCGCTACAGACTTCTGGAGACCATCATCTCTAAGCCTAACGAAAACCAATGAATGCAACCAGCTGTCCGATCGCAGTCGGCGCAGGAGCCACTTGATGAACTGTGTTGCTTGCCAAAAAGAAAGCGATCGACCAATGGAAATATCCGCGAATTCCACCACTGCGTCTCTGGATAGCCGCCAGGAAGGTGATCTTGCCCTAATGAAGCATGGCCTTGTAAAAGCAAGCGGCCTCGAATCGAGCCAATCTACTCCAAATCCATCCCCAAGCATCAGCTCTCTATCAAGACCGGCGTCCCAGCATTCTCGTTCCAATGAGCGGTTCGAGGCCATCCTCAGTATTGGTGGGATGACTTGTGCATCTTGTACAAGCGCCATTGATAATGGCCTGTCTTCCAACGTATTACCGTTTGTTGAATCCGTCAATGTGACATTGATGACAAACAGTGCGCGGGTGGTTTTTCAAGGAGAAGAGAACCTGCAGAAGATCGTCGATACCATAGAGGATCTGGGTTACGACGCTGCCGTACAGCGTTGCGGTGTGATCAACGCTCAGTCAAAAGAGGTAAAAAGCAAAATGAAAGAAAGCCAAAGGACGGTGATGCTGAAGATAGATGGCATGTATTGCCGACATTGCCCACCCCGAATTTATAAAGCGATCAAGACCAATTACTCGGGAGCGGTCACCATCGACAAACCGCCAACGTTGAAGGATCCCGTCATGAGAGTCAACTACTCACCTTCTCCGCCTAACATCACAATCAGACACATCATCGTCACGATCAAATCTGTGGACGAGTCATTCAACGTCGAAATTTACACCCCGCCGTCAATAGAACAAAGGTCTCAAGCCATGCAGAAGCACGAGCAGTATCGACTTCTAATTCGTCTCGTCCTTAGCTTTGTGGTCGCCATCCCCACATTTTTAATAGGAGTGGTGTGGATGAGCCTAGTGCCGGCGTCCAATAAGGTCAGACGATTCTTCGAGCAAGCAGAGTGGGCTGGGACTGTCACTCGTGCTGATTGGGCTATGTTCATTCTGGCGACACCAGTCTTCTTCCTCGCTGCGGATGTTTTTCACCTGCGCGCCATTAAGGTATTCACATCCCGATTAGTCGCTTCCTGTCCACGTTCTTAGATCTGAGTCACGAGCCATGCTGACCCCAATTTTTTATTAGGAGATACGTGCGCTGTGGCGAAAAGGAAGCAGAGTACCTGTTTATCAGAGGTTTTACCGCTTCGGCAGTATGAACTTGCTCGTCTCTGCAGGCACGTCAATAGCATATCTCGCTTCCGTTGCAGTGCTTGGGATCAACGCCACGACGAGATCTAAGTCTCTTGGCTCAAACTCAACATATTTTGATTCTGTCGTTTTTTTAACCTTCTTCATTCTTACTGGACGATACTTAGAAGCTTACAGTAAGGCTAAAACGGGTAACGCTATTGGGTTGCTGGGTAACCTCCGGCCACGAGAGGCAGTGCTTGCCACATCTTTAGAGGAAACAATGCCTGTCGAAGCAGCTTCGGGAGACAGGAACGAAAAGCAGAGAGAAAGCACATCGCCGACTGATTCCGAACGAATTGATGCGAATCTTCTAGAAGTAGGAGACATCGTAATGGTCCCACATGGATCATCCCCACCCGCAGACGGAACAATAACAGAAGGCTCCACTAATTTTAATGAGAGTTCTCTGACGGGCGAAGCCAGGGCCGTAACCAAGTGCCAGGGTGAAAGGGTCTATGTTGGAGCTATCAATATTGGAAATGCCATCACTGTCAGAGTCACGGACGTCGGTGGTAGCTCCATGCTCGACCAGATAGTGGCTGTTGTCCGTGAAGGTCAGACCAAGCGTGCTCCCGTCGAACGAGTAGTCGATATCGTGACTGGCTACTTTGTGCCAGTCATCACTGCCCTAGCGATCACTACATTCGTCATTTGGCTCTCACTTGGTGAGTCAGGAGCTCTGTCCCACAACTACCTTGGTCGACAGCAAGGAGGTTGGGCTTTTTGGAGCCTCGAATTTGCGATTGCAGTTTTTGTTGTAGCATGTCCTTGTGGAATTGGTCTTGCAGCTCCGACGGCGCTCTTTGTGGGAAGTGGTCTGGCAGCAAGCCACGGCATACTTGTTCGTGGAGGAGGCGAGGCCTTCCAGGAGGCCAGCAAAATCGATGCGGTGGTCTTCGACAAGACAGGCACACTTACCGAAGGCGGAGATATCAATGTCACTGATCATGAGATGCTTTATAAAGACAGAGAAGGACGCATTGCTTGGGCGGTCACTAAGGCTTTGGAAGAGACGAGTTCGCATCCACTGGCTCGCGCCATTCTCGCATGTGCCTCCACGCAACCTTCTGAGACGATCCGCACGGTCAATGGAATCAATGAAGAGCCAGGTCGTGGCATGCGTGGCACGTTTCTCAGCTCCGATACGTCAGAAGACTCAGACTCGGGAATTTACGAAGCAGCTCTTGGCTCCGAAGCCCTCATATCCTCTCTCATCTCCGACACTCTCACACCCAACTACTTCACTAACACCACACTCTCCCGCTGGAAGTCCGAATCAAAATCCGTCGCCCTTCTCGCCATGCGCCGAATCCATGGGTCCAGCGATCCTGCCTGTGTCGAGGTCTTCTCGGACAGCCAAACACCATGGACCATTGCAGCCATCTTTGCCACCTCTGATCCTGTTCGTCCCTCCGCCGCTCCTACTATCTCAGCTCTCCAGTCTAGAGGCATACCAGTCTACATGCTCACTGGTGACAACCCAACGACTGCTTCCGCAGTAGCGAGCACCCTTTCCATCCCCCAAGATCATGTCTTCGCAGGCGTCTTACCTACGGAGAAAGCGAGCAAGATCCGCTCGTTACAGGAAAATGGACCTCGTCGACAAGGTTCTTCTACATGGCTTAAGAAACTCTTGGAGAAGAAAGGGTCCGAGGAAAAGGAAAAAGAGAGGGCCATAGTCGCGTTCATCGGCGACGGCATCAATGACGCCCCTGCCCTCACCACCGCCGACGTCTCCATCTCCCTTTCTTCCGCTTCCGACATCGCTATGCATAGCTCATCATTCATCCTGCTCTCCTCTTCCCTAGATTCCGTCATCACCCTCTTTGACCTCTCGTCAAGGGTGTTCAGAAGGGTCAAGGTCAACTTCGGCTGGGCGGTCATTTACAACATCATCCTCGTGCCAATCGCAGCCGGAGTGCTTTTCAAGGTCAAGAGTGAGGGATGGAGACTAGGTCCCGTTTGGGGCAGTGCTGCCATGGCTCTGAGCAGTCTGTGTGTTGTGGCAAGTAGCTTGGCGCTGAGGTGGGAAGGGGCATGGTTGGATATGTTCAAGAGAAGGAAGGCGGTTGCCCGTGAAGAGTAACGGGTTGGAGGGGATCGGGATACGATGGAGGTGCGTGATGACGGTAGCAGGCCAGCATCGAGACGAGTGATGATGGGAAGGAGTGCTTTGAGGGTTACTTTTGGGACGGTCTTATCCTGTAAACACGATTGATATAAAAACTCATAGATCTCGTCGGTGACGTAATAAAAGTTTTATTGCTAACATGATGCTCGTGCTTTTGACCGGTGCTACTGCCTCCAAAGTATTTCAATCGCCAGAATCAAGAGCATGTGAGAGCGGTTGGGAAACTTGCAATGTGGCGGGTACATCTCAGGCAATGTGCGCACCGAGGGGATGCAGGAAGAGAAGAGCAGAGGAGTAAAGGTATTTGCGATCCATTTCGCGTGCTCACATTGAGCGGGTATCTAACCTAAACAGCGCCCGGTAAGCATGATTTACAAGGCATACCAACAACGCAACACAATCGCCCCTATCCCATTCAACTCCAAAAAGCGCTTATTCTTCACCCCAGACACCTGCCACTTTCGCGCCTAGAACGCCTTTGATCTTGGCCCTCCCTACCACCCCACCCAGCCTCGTTTCTATCATCGCCTCTCGTTCTTTGCGACTCCCACAGCCTTCAAACGCCTCGATGAACGCCCTCGGCGTGCCCCAGTATTTCTGGATAGCCAACGCTTTGTCGCCGCTGATACCTCTCGTGCACATGAGCATTTTCAGGAAGACATCTCGCAGCGTGAGGGTGTCGGATTTGGAGGAGAGGGAGGCAAAAGAGGGGTATGTTATATGGTAGGACTTTTCGAGGTGCAAGGGGTGCGTCCGGAGGTGAGTTAGAAGGGGTAGGTATGTTGTCGGTGTTAAAGCGTTCGTCGGTATCAAATGTAAGGGCTTCGACTCGTATAGCGATTTGAGCATCTTTGTCATGCGGGCTAGGTAGCCGATGGTCTCATCCAGCTTTACAGTTCTTTTCACGAAGTAGCCATTGACAACCTGTGTACTTGCAATAGCCGATTGGATAGCCTCATGAAACTTCGTACTTTTCTCAGTGCTCAGGCTGAATTCTTCGATGAGGTATATCACGTTCCTCACACCGGATTTGCGTAGACGAAATTTTTGTTCCTGGAACCTGCCATCTGTAATGCTGCCCACAAGGTCATCAAGGCGCTTACGCTCGACAATCCAATCGAGACAGATTTCGGAGCCTTCTTCGCCGTGACGGGAGAGAAGGTCGGGATCGTGGCACTTGGCTACCCAGAAGAAATCGCCTAGTTCTAGTGGCCGGACCAGGGGTTTGGTGCCTTTCTTTGCGAGCTCGTCAGCGATGTAGTCGCGGTCGTCTTTGGTGCGGACTTCGCGATTGTCGAGTACGAGGTGGACTGTGAAGGTTCCAGGAGCGAGGCGTATGGGGTCAAAAATGGGAAGGCCGGAAGGGTTTTCCGATGACTGGGCTGGTGGCATGGATGTCCTGTTCATCGCTTGAAGCAGAGTGGACGAGGGCGGATTCGACGTTTGCTGAAGAGGTTTTGAGGCGAACTTAGATGTCAACGATCTGCTGTCTTGGTCGAAATTAGATGAAGCCCACGGCATGTCTGGAGCGGTTTCCGGCTCTGGACTGGACAACAGCTCAACGAAGTTCCTCTTTGGAGCGACTGACGGTTCTTGAGTTTTCGCTTTGGAGAAGGTGCCGTACTTGTCAATTGGAGCTCCTCCTAACCGTTGACCGGAAGGACCTGATATCGGTTCCAGCTGCTTGGCGTTCTTTGTGGATGTTGAAGATGTTGGTAGCGACCTCAGCGGTTCCTCTTCCTCCTCAAAGCACTCTTCGAGATCGAGAAAGCGATCAGCATCTTCCCCAGCCTGGATCATGCTCTCAGATCTACCGGGCATGTCCAGGCCTCTATTACGTTTACCCGTAGCCTCATCCAGAACTCCTCCTGCCTGTACAACCCTCATCCTCCTCGCCACTTCCCAGCCGTCTTCTGTCAAAGCATATTTCCTGAGCGGTCTACCCTTCTCTTGGACCAGATCCTTGTTGACCAGCGTAGTCATCGAATTCCATGCTGTATAGAATTTCCCAGATTCGCTGGGGACCGTGAATGATGCTTCACAATGAGGTTGAGCCAGATCAATGACTTCTTTTTTGCTGAAACTCTGTAGTGACTCTTCAGGCATAGAGGACAGGGCGAGTATGAGGGCATAAGGACCGGAGCGTAGGGAAGGGACATAAGGCTTTGCCTTACGAGGCTTTTTCGCAGGAGGTACGGCAGGCTCTTCGCCATTGACAAGATCTTCAGCGCTGAGACGCCTGCGTGCTGCTCGTCCAATTAGCTGTGCCGCCTAAAAAGGCTTGCATCAAGGGCCCTTGCCCTTCCCTCGAGGCTTCTTCGGGGCCGGTAGCCCATTAGCCTCACAGTGCTCCTTCAGTTTTTCTGTCAGTCTGTCACAGATCTTGGGACCAATGCCATCGAGCTGCTGCGCTTCTGAGGGGTGGCTGAAAGTTAGCGGGCATGCTTTCATGGACTCGTAGGCTCTCTTGTACGTTGTAACACCCTTCGAGTTGCGCTCCTTGGCCAGTTCATAGATTTCTTTGATCCATTCAAGAAGCAGCGGGTTGGCACAGGTAGGTGCCATGATGCCCGGCGGCGAAAGTCTGGTGGTTGGATGGAGGTTAGCGTACGAGGAGTCTTGTACGCTCAAAACACGCTAGTAGCTACAATCACGTGATCTTAATTAAGAAAACATCTGTCTCCGAGACGGACAATATCCTTTTTCCCACAGCCAACGAAGGTTTCAATGCGGTCTGCATCAACTTTTGACAACGTTTCTAGCACTACCTGTTCTACTTGCCTCTACATAACCAACTCCAGGACGGCGAGGCTTGATTACCCGTGTGTGGAGGTCGAAACTGATTTGACTATCTTTGTCTTGTATGGACATGGGCTCTAGGATTCCAAACACGTCAGATATGTCCGTATCAATTTATGCTTTCGTTGTGTATAGTTGGCTAGACCTTTTTGCATCCAGATACGATGGAATGTGCTAGAGCAGCAGAAAAAGGGGTCTCCATCTTTATCATGTCGCATTAGATCTTGAGCTTGCGCATACAGTGTGCGAGACCGTGCTAATTATGCAGATTGACAAACAAGAATGGAAATGCTGGATCGTGTGTTCGACATTAGTATTAGCTATCAAGCATTGGGCTGTATGCTAACGCTGCAATAAAGTCCTGCTTCTCACAATAGTCACCTTATGTTCAGACAAAATCCCGGCTCCCCTTGCAGACTACCTTTCAACCTCATCCTCCAGATCCAATCTCGCCCTCTCCTCTTGAGACAAAGCAACCTCTCCAACCTCCTCTCCCGGCATGACCATCTTCCCGTACACTCTCCCTACAAAAGGGTAGCGCCCACTGTACCCGAAATCCATGAAAGCAAATAAGAACGGGTGTCCATTGTCGTCCTTCACCTCCTCTCCCACGTACTCGCCATCGACCTTCTTTCTCCTCTGCATCGCGACAATGAGAATGTCCTCGACTGCGATCGCTTCGTCCTCCGTCTCTCCGCTCATTGTCCCGTCTTCCACTTCAAACGCGGAGAAAGTACCAGTGGACGGGTGATAAAGGCAAGTAAGCTCGCAAGTGAAGCTCCGGAAATGGAGATAGACGATGCAGATGTGGCAGCCGTCGTCTTCCGGGAACTGTTCGCCAACGATGTGCATCTGCGAAGTTGATTCTGTGTCTTTCGGGCTTGCATTTGCGATGTCGGAGTAGACGAGTGAGTATGTCACATCAATAGAAGGTATGAGTTGACTAGGCGTTTCTTGGTGTGACGGCTCGGCAGAGGATCTGAGCTTCTTGTCTTGCGAGTCTTGTGATTCTTGCGATTCTTGCGATTCCTGCTCAATTGACGGAATGGGTGAGTCGAAAGAAGATGTTACGCTGCACTCTTTGACTGACGTTTCCGTGGACATCTTGACTCTCTCATGTGCAACTTTCGAGCGCGTTGACTTCTACTGACTTGCAAAACAGGCGAAGAAAAGCTGCTACGAAAACCAAAAACTCCAAACGAGCGACGCAAAAGATTAAATAAAACTAAAGAGTTTCGCATGACGCTGGTGACGGCGGTAAAGTGCATCAGTGCGGAACAAGAATGATGGCAGGATTTTGTTGGATCTGATGGAGGGGAAAGAATCCTGCAGGAGCCGCAAGTCTCTACAAGAGGGTAAAATCAGACGACACCCAATCCATCCATGCTTCAAAAAGGTTTCATGATGCGCCTCACCCATGAAATCGAGTCTTCCTGCAGGTTTTCCGTATTCCTTTCTCATCCTTTGTATGTACATGGTGTACATAATTATTTCCTTTGGGATTGGATGCAAGCGCCCCATTTCTCTGCACAGACATTCGCCTTCTGCAGATCCTGTGCATGCATGCATGCATGCACCTCCATACCGATCAACTTCATGTGGGTGTCAGCCGATGGATCACAAGGTGCGTATCGCATTGCCAGTTTCATCCCAACAAGCAGCGCAGGATTCTCAGACACACCACTAGTTTCAAGATGTTTGGCTACAATGCCGTTCGCTTTCAAATGGGCCAGTTACTGCCTTGACGCCGAAGCCCCACTCAACGAGAGCTGTCCGGAGAAGACATCCACATCTTCGCGAAAACAAGGCGAAGCCTGCCGCTATGACATCCGGCTCCTCACCTCCTCCCTCCTCCCTCCTCCCTCCTCCCTTGCCTACCTGAAAGGATCATCAAGCTTTCATGCTCTTCGCATCCTGCTCCATCTATTCCACATCTCCGTTCTGTTCGTCCGTCCAACTCCTCGTCCGCCCCATCATCCACCTACGCCAACCGCCCCTTCTCCCCATTGGTTGATCCCACCACACCTCCTTCCACCAACTCCTCACTGTGCAATACCCCTCCCATTGTTTTAACCCGTCATGCCCACCAGCAACATCGGCAGAAAGGGAAAAGATTCCCATCATCAATACTCACTTCCCACTCCTCCCCTCTTTGCCAATACCCTCTTCTATGAAAACACGTCATGGAAGGAGACGTCAACTCCCAATACATCAATCCATCAATTGATGACTCGCAAAACCTGTCCTCTTTTTCATCGATCTTGTACTCTGACATCACGCTACCGTATGAGTAGGAAAGCCGTGCTTACCACATGCCTGTCCGCAGAATTCACAGCCAGTGACACGCATTCGGTCATGAGGTTCACCTAGCTTGGGAATATAGCGGTAGGCTATGGCTATCGATTTAAACCGGTGTGGTCGCGGCGACGGTCTTCCCGGATCGGAAGGTGAGGTATTTGCTGGAATTCCGGGACACGAAAGAATAGGCGTGGGCTTGAGGAACACAGTCGACGAGGTATCCGTGGGATGATGGCGCCGATGCTCTCACCTCATCGACTTCCTTCTTGGGTGAGACGTGAGCGGGACCGGTTGGGGATAAGGAGCTTCCGGTACGGCAAGGAAGCTGAGAAAGGATGTGGACAGGAGAGGAGATGATGCGAGTGAGGCCTTCCGCCATCAATCAAAGGAATCAACAAAGGACAGATTGTACGCCAAGCCTCTCTCTCCTACCGTAAAATACCTCAACCGATCATCCATCCGACCCGTCCAAAACAGACACCATCCCCCCTTCCCACCAATCGTCCAACCGCCTTCCTACCAATCAACCCATCCATCCACATCCCTCTCCCGCCCCCAAACCCCCTCGGACCCGTCAGCCCTACCGAACCCGTACAGGTAGTACTCCTTGCCAGCCCCGTGCCACTTCCAACCCCCAACTCCCGATCCCGATCCCGATCCCTCCTCGTTCCCATTCCCATTCATCGTATCCCTACACCCCTGCCGAATCCTCCTCTTCGTCAGCAGCACCTTCCCCCATCCCTCCCCTCGAACCCGTGGCTCGAGCGATCCATTGGTGATCTAGCCATCTGCCCCCTCCGTCGGGTTCGATGGATCCTGAGGGAGTCGGTCGGGCTTTGAGGATGAGGGATGGATGGGATCTGAGGTGAGATTGCGTTTTGCTTGGTAGAAAGGGTTCTTTGGGTGGGGAGGATAGGTGTGAGGGTGCGAGTATAGACGTAGGGAGGTCGGAGTATGGGAAAGGGGAAGGGTATTGTACTCTCAAAGCAGGTTTGACTGTTACACTGAGCGAAAGGAACGAAGAAGAAGTGATATCGAGTAGGAGACAGGGGAATGTCTAGCGACTGACTTCCGAGGACAAACTGCTCGCAGGCGCCCCTAGCTCTGATGTACCAGTCTGAATTCATATGCATCGCTCTATTTGGTTGCTGTGCCTAAAAAGCTCAGCAGATAGAGCCAACTCGCTATGCGGAATGCTTCCATCTATGCATAATACTCTTCCAAGATGATCGTCTCAATCAGAATCGTAGACCACATTGCCCTCGTCGTTGCCATAAGGATCTTCATCGTCCGCTTCATCACTGCTTTCATTAATCCCTTCCTCTTCCAACTCCCCTGCGATACTGTCAAGCGCCTTCTGCTCGTCTGGATTGGCAGTCCCTCCACCCTCACCAGCATCTTCTTCACCATCCCCGCCCTCCTCCTTTTCAGCATCAACGGCTCCGTTCTTGCTCCCAGGGCTCGCAACTTGCAACGCCCCCGACATCTCCACTCCACTCCCAGGACTGCCAGCCAAGATCGCATCACTCCCTCTCCTACTCGTACTGCTCGAGCTGCCCCCATAGGTATTCGCAATATTTCCATAATTAATTTTCTTACTGAATCCACGCTTCCCCATCATTTTCATGACTGCCTCCTGGGGACTGCCCGCCACAGGCATTCCCTCTTGCCCATCTTCTCCGATATACGCAGTCATATCGCCTATTCGCTTTTTGCGTCGTCGCCGACGGATAATGACTCGAGCAGTGCCACTCTCCTCGGCGAGTTGTTGTTTGAGGATCTTGGCGCATTGGGCACGCAGGTAGTCTCGATTTTCGTGCGTCCAGATACGGGTTTTGATAGCAACCTCGGAAGGCGTTAGGAGGCAATTGGACACTTCGGGATCATCCGCAAATTCGCTGTCGGAGATCATTTCTGTGTCCGGGATGGGGAAGCGAGACTTGACGGGAAGGTTTTGCTGGGTTGCTGGAGGAGAGGGTGGATCAGCTGCGGATTCGAGGGCTGAGGTGAGAGCCGTGGCATGGTCAAGGTCCATAGGGTTTGTAAGTGCAGCAGTAATATCAGAGCCAAGTGACGGATCGTTGGCATTTAAGGATGAGTTGTCGGAGGTTTGACTAGCTGGGGGCGTTTTCAGGTTCTTAGCTCCTGCTGGGCGCCCTCTTTTGCGTTTAGCTGTAGTTTCGGTCGTTGCTTTGACGCCAGAGATTTCAACTGCAGACCCTTCAAGGGTAGAGGTCACATTTCCTGGTGCCGGAGACGAGTCTTTTTGGGAAGAACGCTGAGGAGATGCTGCGAGTAGACTGGGATCGATGGGCAACGGTGGAGGTGGCATGCTTTGGCTGTCAAGCTGAGCTTGGTTTTGCGTGTTTGCTGGAGTGTTTGATTGGCCGTTGGTTTCCGATGGGCAAGTGGATGTTGCTCTTGACGAAATCACTGTTGGTTCGACTCCATCCCCATCATCGCCAAAATTGGCGTCGATCTGCTTCGGTTTTCGACCGCGCTTCTTCTTACCATCGTTGTCCTGTGTGAATGCTGGTGGGTCAGCTGTACGCTCAAGATCGATGGTTCGAAACTCTTCAACAGTCAATGCACCGCTCTCGGTAGCCTTGAATTCGTCGAGGCGGTTGAAAATGGTCTGCTCCTGCACTTTGACCACAAAAACCACTTCTCGAACGCTTCGACGGAAATTGTTCATGCGTGAGGCCAATATCAAGGCAGCCCCACAGACACCGGCTGGCCTACGACCAGGAGTCATCCAGTCACGATTCATACGTTGGACGATACGGACCGCGTCATTAGCGACACGCATGGTTTCAGATCCAAATTCGAGACGCTGAGCGAAACGAAGAATAAGGTCTTCAGGATTGATTGGCTGGACGATAAAGCCATTGCCATTGAGAGCAAGAAATTGAAGATACTTGGTATACACATGACCAAGGTTGAAGACGTTGAGCTGTTTCGTTCGTTAGTCCCAAGTCCGGAGTGAGGGGGACTTTCTCACCCCCAAAATATCCGAGAAATCAATCAGCATGAAGGTGTTGGGGTGGGTCTGAACTCGGCAGGCAATATATAGAGCGACTGCAGCAACACTCTTAATCCTACGACCTTGAATGAAACCGCAGGGACCAATGGCCAACTGGTAGATCTGCATGGCGTGGTCTCTGATCTGGGCATTCATCTGCAATGTTGTACCGATTCTGACAATGTGGTTGTGGCCTGAAGATTGGTTCAACTAGTATGTCTGACAGATGTGCGGAAGCTACTCACCATATTGTGCCGTCAGATCTTGGCTGGTGGCGGCTCTCGTCTTGTCGACCACGTCTCCTCTACTTGCAAACGCTTGATCAGCACCAACGTGGAAACCATGGACAACATGTTGACCGCCGGTTGCAAGACCGTAGGTGACTTCGGAGACCATGGACAGCTCATCAATTACAGATCCGCATGCACTGCAAATTAGCTTGCCGTCTTCTTCGACCCCCTTTTTCTCATTACAATCTGGATTAGGACATTCTTGAGATTGAAATTTTTTAGGCCCCGGAGGTGGACGAGGCTGAGGGTTTTTGATACTGTCCAGCCTCGCCACCGGCCTCTGGGGCCGCGTTGGCGGCTTCTTGATGGGGACTGCTGTTGACATGAGGTCGTATCTGCTAAAGTTGAGTTACGGTCCCAATTGCATGGCAGGATGAAGGTGTGAAGGCTCGGGGTGAATCTGATAGCCCATTGAGAAACTGGGAGATTATTGTTTCAGCAAGTGGCTGGGTGGTGTCGTTCATCAACAATGCATTGGCCTCGAAACCCCAAGATTGGCATCAAGGATGTTCGACCTATCGCTTATTCGAAGGGAGCAGGAGGCTGTGAGAATTGTGGGTATGGTGATGATATTGTTGGAATATTTTCGCAACGCTGGTCCTGTGGTGGACTGGGCGCGGGGTTTTGACTCACAACATTTTCCGAGATTTAGCCCGAATGATCGACGCAGGGAGGCGGAGCTGGGTTCGAATCCACTTTAACCAAAATGCAAATGCACTACAAAATGTTTTTCTATCAACTTTTATATAAACAATCGACGACATAAAGTAAGATTTGATCTCAATATTTCTTTTTCCATGATTTTCGACTCTATCCCACTGAGTGTACGGTAAGTTTCCTGAATCAATAGTATGAACGCAGGTTTGACCAGTGATGAATTTCACGACTTACTTTTTCCCAGCCCACCACCAGCCCAGCTTTAAGGGAAGAGATTTACCTCTCATCATCAACCACAACTTGCCACCGACTTGTGACAGTAAAATTGACCGATTGCAATGCGAAATATGCCGATTAATATCATGACTACCGACTCGACTATTTTTGCGACCGAGGCTCTTGGCAAAGTGTTCTCGAGCAAGAGCCTTTATAAATCGGACGGTCTCGTATTTCTCAAGGTTAGAGTCCAAAATGACTTGCAGTCGCATGATTTGGTGAGTTCCATGAAGCAATATGTATAAGTTGGGAAAAGAGTGTTCCTTTGCGAACTTCTACCGCCGTGGTCTGTTATCATAAAAGAATCCGGGAATTGATTACAGAAACCGACGCAGAATGCTATGTAAACTGGGTATGGTCGTCAACGACAAGAAGCTGCGTTCGAGAATCCCGAAATCTCGCAGTTAAGATACTGACATTCTGACTCATAAGACGGAATACGGAGGCCAGAGCCTCACTGAACCCGGCGCGATGTTTTGCTCTTGAAGCAGCAAGACGAGACCTCCCTCGTACATATACGGAAATGGTAGGTGGCTTTGAAGACTAGCTGACGAAGAGTCCCTGTACGTATAATTAGACCAGTGGATATGGTGGGTTGGACCCTTGTGTTGGAAATATATCTTCAGGCCACATGCTTCTTCATCGCTCCGCCATACCATAGCAGTGCCGCACCAGGAGACAGCTGACAGACCTTGGACTCGCCCCGGATAGACCTGGTCGCGCTATGAATAGGAATCTCAGTTGCCGGCTTGTCAAAGTCAATAGTCGCCAAATCATTTCTCTTCCGAGAAGACCACAACTGCTCTCGGCCGGTAGGCAACGCCTGAGCTAGAGGCCCAAGCGTTGAATGGCAATGGCAAACCCCATCACGCAAGATATGATACATAAAGTCCGGATCCCACGCAGTGCAAGATCATGCGCCCCCACGCAGCTTTTCGGTGATTTTAGCCGCATACTTTGGTTGACACCACGTCAAGACGGCACGCATGCGGGTATCGCTTCTAAATCTATTATATACACCGTGTTCGCATATTCATATCACAATGCCCCGCATACCGATGCGGGGATTACTATTTGAAGTTGACATGAAGGTCGATAAGCAAGATTTGAAGAGACTGGTACCATGCTGCGTCTGAACTCATTGTCATTACTTGGCATACTTCTTCACCATTACTTCTTTTCCTCAACCTCAGCATTACCCCTCGAAACCCACCGTCAATTATCCCTCACTCTCTCCAAGCGGACTGTCGAAGTACGCCCTCTCTCTCTTCCACGACCTTCCCCTGTTCTATCTGCGCACCGTTAATCCTCATTCCAGTTCCTCGACTGTCCCGGTCCCCTACCCTTACCGCCTTACCCCGAAGCCCCAATCTTCATGAAAGCCACCCACATCGACGTCGAAAGCCAAGCTCCCACCGCACTCACCTACACCGATCGCTGGGGCGAACAAGAATACATCTTCGAACGCGAAGGTCTCTGTTCCCGCGCCGGCTGCAAATGTGTTTCCGGGTCCATCGTCTGCAATAACTTCGGATACCTTTTCTTCTCGAGAGTTCTCCACAGTTGGTACTCAGCTGATTGCTTGGCCACGTGTTCCTGCAGCTTTGTCGATCCGCATAATCCACCATCAGTCAGCCTGACTGGAGGAGGCAAGAACGTCAGTGTGGATCTAATTGCGAGTCTAGGGAGCGGAACTGTGAACATAGCCTCAACAGATTGAATCCGTAGGGAACTGCCGGGCGGTTCGCAGGCTGTATGGCAGGGGAGGCGACTGGCTGGACAATCAAGAGTTTGGCGAAGTTGCTGCGTAGGGTACTCTTTCTATGTGTTGACGGCGCAGGAAGTTTATGAGACGTATGGAGTAGCACCATATGCGAGTGATGTTATTACGGCTGCTGCTATCATTGGGGTTTGCTTGAAGAACGTGTAGGTGGTTATGGCTACCAATATATGATGCGGAACGCCAGATGGAAGAGGTCTGAAGACTCGACGATGGCCTTCGCTATCCCAATGTCTCCTTTTTCTCCCGCACCAGTTGAATCCTCATCATCCTCTGCAGGTGAGGACGCAAGCGATCTGAGATTACTAGCCCGGACACCTCGAGGTATCAATAAATAACGCAAGATATGCCTGGGTGGTGACTCAGAGCCTTTCACTATCTGACCATTTCCGTGCAAGAGGTCCTTCAAACCTCTGTCTGTGTCGCGCAGGATGGAGATGAGAATCTCAGCGCGCTCTCTGTCCTGATGATCTTCCCTTCGGACTTTGTTCTTGAATTTCGGTCTCTTGAGGCGAAGTGCGGCGTCGTTGCTCCTGGCAAGGAACAAAGCTAGGATGGTCAGTAATCCCAGACGGACCACCGATGCGACAGGCTGCGATGCTCACAGAGGTTCACGTCAAGCTCGATCTGTTCCCATTGTATCTCCTTTAAGACTTCTCCATCAATATCCCTTCCGCTCTTGCAGTCCAGGTGGACGCGTTCCAGGCACTCTCTTTCCTGTTGGAGCCTCAGAGTGTAGGCAGGCCCCTCCTTCTCCTTGGCAGCCTCGTCAACCTTTTTCAGTATCTCATCTGCATCGTTGAGCTGTCCATTTGCATTGGCGAAATATTGCTCATTATACGAGAGTGATCCATCACCTTGGCCGACACAGCGCGCTCGATTAGCAGCCCTCAGGGCGGGTAGAAGGTCAAACAGCATCTCCACCAGACTAGGAATAGGATGGTGAGTTGTGCTTGCGGGAATGGTTTCGACAACCTCATCTTGCTCGACACTGTCCTCCCTTTTTTTTCCAATGCCCTTAGCTCTTCTATTTTCAGCAAGTTTGCGACTCTCTCGTTGTATCGATCTCTCAAAATCTCGCTCTGTTTGCTCAGCTCTTGTTCTGGGAAAGAAGGGTCAGCGGTGCACCCCAGGAGGTGTAGCAAAGGGCCGAAATAAACCTTCCCAAACCAGAATGTCTACGAAGATCCTCAGAACGCGTTGCCGCACAGGCCGGAGGCCGTCTTTGTTGCGTTCAAAGGTCATGTCCAAACTTACCGCTTCGAAAAGCTCTGTCCCCCAAAGTCGCAATCTCAAAGCCCATCTGGCGAGTTCAGAGTCTTCTAGTTCGACAGCTATGCCGGCAAGGATAGCTTGAGCGGTAAGACAGATGTCTCGCACGACCCAGGGTCCGATTGGTCCTCGATTGAGACCCATAGTCGTCACCGTACCAGGGCAGTGTAATAAGTACAAAGCGAAGCTCGCGTTGATGAAGACGTTGCTGATGGCCAGTGAAGATCTCGACTATAGGTCTGCAAAGTTACACAAGCTGTGGGCAACGTGATTCGGCGACTCCAAGGCTTCCGGCGTTTGTTCCGACAGCAATGGCACATGGAGCAAATGCGTAGTAAATTGAATGATGCCGCCGGAAGTTTACGAGGATTAATGACGGAGAGAAGTTGCCCAAGAGGTCGCGGATTCTCCGACGGTCACGTGTTTCAGAATTGCTTCGTTTCCAAAACTTCAGGACCTTTCCGATATTGGGGCTTACAGTCATCCCCCCCAGGAGTGCGGCGACCACCTCCGTGCGTTAGCGCTGTGGCAACCCACATGGCATCGAGCGTGCAGGAGCAAGAGATGAAACACATTGATAGACACTGCTGAAACGCACGGACGTGGGAGTTTTGTGTTTCCAGTCTGGGGGTGGTTTTTTCCGGAAAACACGCCGTTGATTTGCATTGCTATCTGAATCATGGAAGCAGAATCGCACGACTTTGTTCCAGATATAACCCAAAGAGTTTTGATGCTTTGCTGCCCACAACCCATCAGAATCCGTACCCGTAAGGCAACGTTTCATTTCCTTAACACAGTCTGCCCACGCTTGGCCCGTGTGCGTCATTTTTCCTTTATTCTCCCCAACATATCTCGTGGGTCGTACGCTCCATCTTACTTCTGCATTCATCCTATTGCACAGACAGAGAAACATCAGCGCGGTCCATCGAAAGGAAGTGATGTCAATAACGCCTCCTACCACCCCACCTAGACGAGCATGCAATTCAGCAATTTACACACCATCTCCCGGCACAAAGGCCCCGTCAAGACCCTTTTCCCCAATTCCAACCAGTGTGGATGTGACATACCAGATCGTCCGCATCAAACCCAGCAACACAGACTGGCTTACTCCAAAGCCCTCAGACCTCATCCAGATCATAGGTCCGGTGTCTGGGGGCAACACCCCCAAAGCCGATGATGAAGACGCAGCAGCAGCAGAAGATGACGGTTTTGTGATTCCGTGTGCAGCCCGCCTCAACTGGGACGGTAAATCGATCCATCTGGAATGTCTATATTACCCATCCGCCTCCATTTTTACGGGTTTTGGGGAGTGCGCAGATGAGACAGCGAATGCGGCCGATGAGGCGGAGCGCGTGCAGAGTGTGAGTGTTACGATGCAGGATGCGATCTCCAGAGAGGACGAGACGGGAGGCGAGATGGTAGAAGATGAGAATGTGAGAGATGATGATGGGAATCCGTTCATGGTCTTGCATGTCAATAGAGGGCTTGCTGGATCGGCGAGGCTGTATTGTAAGAAAGTCATGCATAGTCAGAACGGTCTGACGGACGGAGTTGGTGAAATTTTGGGTCTGGATAAGAGTGACGAAAAGATGGACAACAGGTGGATGTTGCAGGACGAAGAAACCAGAAGATGATTTTATAGGTGACAAGGATGCGCGGTGCCTCTAAGCCGCGCCACAGAAGATCAGTGGCGCTAGAGATTCTAGCCGACAAAAGCATCAAAGCCTGCACAGAATAAGGGCAGAGATTGGCTGATGTGATGGTCGAGCCTCTTGGAAACTGAAAGGGTCACTAGGCGTGTCAGAGTAGCTCGAATACAGTCAGAGCGCTTGCAGATCGCTGGTATGTACACGCTCAGATGCTCAAGATAGAGGATGTACAACATAAACGTACAGACTTCTCAGCCATCGCTACCGTTCGACCTAAATGAAGCACAGCGCTCCACATAACCATTCGTGAGATCCAAGACCGATTGCGGTAGGCTGGTTGCTTGAACGATACTGCGAACTTTGACCGCGCCTTCGCTTTCGATGAGCTTGCGGACGGTGTGGAGGAGGGATGGACAGAACTGTCGGTCATAGGTCAGCACTCCCAGCAGCACCAGCCAGACAGAACGATATCAGGCATACCTCGGAGTACCACCGATACTGCCAAGCGACCAGCCGTATAACGCACTGCAGTACCTCACCTACCCTCCCTTGGCCCTCATACATCCTCAATACCCCTCTCATCGCCTTCGGGCTAAACCTGACCCTCAGGCACGACTGATACGCTTCCACCGCTTCTGGAAAGTGATGAAGTCTTTCCGCAAGCTCGCCCAGAATCTCCCACTCTTCTGCCGATTTGCGGTATTCACCTGATGATTCCTCGGTCTTAGAGCGTGCCATGTCGGTCCGCCAGATTGTGTATATGCGTAGGTCTTCATAGAGAACCATGAAGAGATTGTCAAGCCAGCGCTCACAGAGTCGTTTGTTGTGGAATTGTGTGTAGTGAGGTTGAGAGGGAGAAGGCTATGATTTATTTAGCAAGCTCTTAAACGCCAAAATCTAATGGCTTACGTCTTCGTTGCCAGCTTTGACTTCTTCAGAGGTTATGGTGTGGTTAGGTTTCTCGATAGACTCGTTCGTCAACGTAGCACTGCTGGGGGCCCCGCTACTTTGTTCGGTCATTTGTGTATTCGCTGAACCTGGTAGTGAGAAGTCGCCGTCGTGGCTTTCAATGCTGTCTGTCGTCCCATTGACGCGCGGACTTGGGGAATGTAGAGCGACGGTACTTGCATTCTGATTCGCGGTGGGCTGCTGATTTCCGCCAGTCTGCTTCTCGCTCCGGTATTCTTCTTCCATCACAAAGACGTGACTTCGTATCTTGAGCAATTGGTCCCATCCGATCTTTGCGGTTATTTCTGTGAGCAGACTGTAGGCTTTGAGGAATGTGCCCTTATAGCCTGCTGCATGCAGCTTTCGTAAGGACGGATGGACCAGCTCGCTGTTGATTGCTTCCTGTGATTCGTCTATCTCATCTAACATGCTTTCTGGCATGACTGGTAGGATTACTCGCTGGGGCTCTGGCATTCGGGGCGCATCTTTGTCCTGATATGTGAACATCGGGCATGAATTTAGCGTTAGAAGTGCGAGGTCCCATTGCTCGAGGCCAACGTAGATCTCTGCAAGCTTTGCCCATGTACCAAACTCGCTAGGTGCCGCAGTCACACTTCGCTTTGCACAATCCAGCGCCCACTCTAACTGACCCTTGCTTTGGCAGAATGCCGATTGGCAATCGAGAAGGGAGTAATCCATAGGTAACTGCGATATGGCATCGTGGAGGAGCTTGACCGCTTGGACCTCCTCGTCCGCGGATATGAGAACACGGGCGAGGAGTGACGAGACTTCCACATCCCGTGTCCGAAGCTTTTCGAAGAGGTTTATGCCGGATGTATATCTTCCTGTGGTATGTATGTAATTGAGAAGGCCTGTTGTGAGATGATTAGAGACGACATTGGGCACTTGAATTTCGGGTTCCGAGCCAAGCTGTGATCCTGTGAGAGCTTTTTAGTACAGGCCATATGCAGTCAATGTGGTCCAACTCACCTTTGAAAAAAAGTCTTTCGGCAGCATCGAGGAACTTGTGCTCCACCTCCGTGCTAGTGATTGGATCGAATCTCCGGACACCGATGATCTTTTTGATGCTATCTCCGCTACCATCATCTGCGTACGAGTACGCTCTGAGCACAGCGCACAAGAAGGTCTCTAGCCAAAGCCCTTCGGATGCCACTCGCTTGTCGCCCCGCTCGTCGATGCAATAGCTCTCCACTCCACCCGGTATCTTAACATCCACCCGCATATCCAGATGTGAAAACGCATTGTAGCAGCTGCAGCTGTTACTCTTCATTTCTCAAGATTCAACCGAAGCCGGTACCCACCAATACAGTCCAGATACCACTTTATGTGTTTTGTCTTGCGGCGTATAGACGAGGGTGTTTACGTACGCTGCTAAGCTGGCTGATGAGGAAGCGTCTACCCCAGTGACATGGTGGTAGACTCCAAACTACATCAAATGTCAGAAGACATAGATCAGCAAAGGAATGCTGTCAATTAGATACCTGGCGCCCTCCCGACTTCGCCTGCTTGACTAGGTGTACCAGATCTGGGGGACCTAATTCACGAATGGTCTGCAATGCCTCGTTGCGGCTTTCGATTGCGGACTCAATCTCTTCTTCAACGATTCTAACCGATAGGTCGTTAGAGACTTCATTGCTCGAATTGAGTGCAAGAACCTACTCTGGGACCGCAGGCACAATCATGGCGCGTGTGAACCTGAGACGACTTTGACTGGGCCTGGAAGAGTCCTCAAGATTCACCATCCAAGCTATTGTTTAAAATGGTCCATGTAGTCGCCTTATGAGGATATGACTGGGAGAGGCACTTAAGGTATGAAGCAACTTCGAATTGTAACCAATTCTACAGCCCAGCCGGCCGATGTGAAGCAGAAAGAAGGACATTGATAATTTGTCCTCTCCGGATGTCCCATTACTAAGCAGAAACGGCAGCTAAACATCGATTACTCCGTACCTTACTGTTCTTGGCATTTTGTCGCGACGTGTTTGACAATTTGATTCACAGCTTTGCAACACCTACCTAAGATTCTCTGTTCTATGTGCTGCCTGTTCCATGATACTATCTCCACTTGTCAATAGTGTCTCATTTTTGATTAGCATGCACCGACAAGGTGAACTCTTAAGCACTCGACTTACGGGACGCTTGAGATGGTACAGATGCCTTTACTACTGCAAGGCAGCTACAACATCATCGTCATTGCTGACTTTCTATAGGCTAGCTTTGCTCCTTTGAATATCGAGATCGAGTCGGAGAGCGAGGACGAGGTTGACGACAGCAAAGAAATTCAGGTATTCTATACAGCACAAAGTGCCATGTGACAACGAGGCTAAAACCTGTCAGATCGAAGAAGCTCTGAAGCTGTATCAGAACGCTTTAAAATTGCATTCCCAGGGTCCAGATTTCTACAGCGAGGCGGAAGATGCCTACAACGAGCTGTTTCGATCCGAGATTTTTACTTACCCAGAATCACTTTCTGAAGCCCAGCGTATTGAGAGTTATGGCGCGGTTGAGGACTTGGAAGATAATTCCGAAGACGACTTTCTTCCTGCAATTACGACCACAACCACAGGCGCAGATGTTGCTCCAAGCAGTCTCCCGCAGATTTTGTACCTTGCATACAAAAACCATGGCCAATTTCAGCTTGATAGACTGAAAGCCCGTCTTAGTCGTATAGAGCAAGAGATCAGACCTGACGACCATTTGACTCCTACGAAGCTAATCTTCGGGACGGCGTCTTTCAGCTTGAAGCTTTTTGTCGAGGCTCTAGACCGAGATGATACGGATCTGGAGCTGTGGCGACAAGTTGCAAGAGTTGCTGGGCTCCTAGGCAGTCGCCGGATCGCAAGATTCTGCTTGGAGTCTGTGGTAGATACTGACGAAGGAGATTTCGACCCCTGGGCGGAGCCTCTGGGTCTTGAAGAGAGCTTCGCTCTAGAGCAGCTGAAGCCTCTACTAAGATCGTTGAATGACCAGCTTTCGGAATCTCAACTGACTGCGAAATCCCACAAGCACAGAAAGTTGATGGGCTTGTTGAAGCGAAATGTCGATCCTTTTCCGTATCTGCCCACCAATGCAATCGGCCTTCCAGCCCAGAGCGTTACGCACCCTGCGAAGATTCAAGTTATCACAGTTCCTCTCAGGACTTGGGCAAGCTGCGGCAAAGCCATCTTGTTTCGACTCAATCAGGAAGCGCAAGGGTTGGTCAATCCAGTCCCTGGGGCCGGCTACTCACTGGCCATTCCATCGAACAACTCAGCTGGTATCCTCCCGCCACCGGCCAGACAAATGCCCAATCGCGATATCACTGCAGGCCACGATCGACAACCATTTGTCCGCAGCCCCACCGAGGATAAAGCGGAATATGTGGATGCGCTAATGGAGGTTTCAACGGCGGCGGGACCAGGAGAACGAAATGAGGCCCGACCCATTGACTTGAGTGGCTCCGTTGTTCGGCAAGCTATGGGATCTCCCATCAAAATTAGTCAGATTGAAGATCGCGGATACGAAAACGTTGTAGAACTTCCGCTCGCGCAAGGACGTGCAGAGAATGGCGGATTTGCAGTCCGACCAGCTGGTCCGGTGGCCTTGCCAACACGGAAAAGGTCTTCTGAAGCAGCCGAGCTACCCGACTCCACAGATATAGGGCGTTCGCGAAGCAAGCGAATCAAAGCTCGGGGTTCTATAGACCCCGATTCATTGAAGGACACTACAGCAGAGGATTGGGCCAAGTGGTACGAGCAACAATTGCAGATATATCATGAAGCAGACGAGCCAGCTTTTGGCACTGTGCAAGGAATGCTGACAAAGCTTGGGTCCCAAGAATCAGGGTCATTAAAAGTACTTCGTGATATTTTATCAAACCAGTGTACAGCATCAAATGAAGCAGTCAATGGCGCAATGGAGTCGCCGAATACGGCAGCTCAGGATCTGAAGACGATGCTTGATGAATGGGACCTGCCGAAGAGCAAAGCATTCTTGAGTGGACACGATACCAAAGATTCTGCTGGGCCCATCGGCGGAACTCAGAATCCAGGCTTCACGGCGTTCTTGGAGCATTCAACTGAGGAAACTCAAGTCTCACCAAAGCGGGCCCTTTTGCCTGGCGATCACGCTTTAGATGACTTTGCAAGACACCTTGACGACGGGAGCTGGCAGGGCCTACACCAGATTTCCTATGAGTGGATATCCTGTCTTCTGAGTCCCGGCACATTTGAGGCAGAACTTGTGTCGTTGTACGAGGCTTATTCGTGGCCGGATTCTCTTAAAGAAGCCGTTGTGCAAATGCTTGTTAATGAGGACGAGGCGATATTCTCACAGACGAATCGTCTGGCTGACTTGATGGAGCAGCAAAGCCGAGCTTATGAGGATACGCTGGAACTAGAACGCTTCAACAAGTCTAAAAAAAGCCACGTTCAACTGGTGCAGGCTATCTATGAACTGCACTTAGATGTTTATGGGCGAATCACCAACCCTAGCAGCGAAGTTGATGCGATGACGCGGCTTCTGCAACGCGATCGTCTTTGTCGCTGGGCTGCATTCTCGAGCAAGCTCATGAATCAATGGCTAAATTTACCTGATGATGAGGGCTGGTCGTCAGATGAACTAGAAATTCGGTTCATGTGGTCTTCTGTTGTATGCACCAGCCTCCTTGAACCAGCTTCACGCGATCACACAATCCTGTGCTTTCAAGATCTGATCCGTATCCTTAACAAGGCGCGTCTCAAGCATGAGATCGATCTTATCATTGACCTACCTAACAACGCAATAATGCCTGAGATCTCTGTGGAAGCTGCAGAGAAGGAAATCTCGAGACTTACGACGTTGGATTTTTTCATGGGCATCTTCAGCTCCGAGAACAATGATCCACTAACCATCATTGAAAGCTTGGAGCCACTGCTTGATCTCTCAGTACAGCAAGTGAAGGCGATGGACGAAACCGGCTCTGAGAGCACTGAAGGTGGTGACCCAGAAAGCCCGCTCGCGGAACAGTCCGAGGTACCAACAGATCCCAAATTGCTTGAGGCATTGCAATTCCTAAACCGAGGGAGCCTGCCTTTAAGACTGTTTCTCTGGCAAAGATTGCGGAACGCTTATCAAGCCATCCATTATCCGCCCCAGGTACTTTGCTGCAATCTGAGGAGTTTTGCGCTCATCACTGATCACCTCGCCTCGTCATCCTACACAGACAGCAGCCCAGAAAATCGCTATGACAGCTTGCTCCGTTGGTTGAACAAACTTGACGATCTCTTGATCAAGATATTAGGAGCCGCACTTTTCCACAACGACGCTTTCGAGACTCTAGATGTGGAGCATATCCGCGTATCCTTGGAGGCTTTAATAAGATTGCGGGACATCCTGCATGTCTTCGCATTATGGGAAGACACGATTCGAGTTGGTAAAACACAGGTACCCACCTCCGTGGGCCAGACTGCCCATAGAGGCTTGAGCAAGTCCACGGACAAATTCCGTGACATGATCGTCAGAACCTGGACCTTACAGTACATACTCCTCAAGGAAGCAAACAAACAAAGCCCAGGGTTGTTCACCAATTCGGATGAGATACTGCTTCATTACTTGAAGCGGGTCCATCAGACATTAGGCCTACGATGCTACTGCAGCCTCGCAGACAAGATGTTCCTGAAGCTGATGAAAAGCGAGCTTGAGGGATTCAAGCTTGCGGAAGGATGGGACACTGACATGGCTCAGTTGGTATTTGATCTCTATGGTCTGAAAATATCTTCAACTACGGCAGAAATGCAAGATCATGGCTGTCTTCCTGAGGAGCTCGACCGTCGTACCGCGGTGGAAGTCATGGACACCGTCATGCTACATGTCAATAGACTCAGTATCAAGGACTTACTGAAGAGCGACCTCAAATTTGCCGTGGACAAGATGCAGCAAGTCATCAAAATACCCAAGGTCACAACGAACGCGACGGCGAGGACCTTCAACCACCGGCTCGCGAATAATTATCTGAAATCACCTATTAATCCTGTTGATCTGTACCGGTCCTTACGAGGCATTGGCGGCCTTTGTGGGAATCCCGCACGTAGCGAGGGGTCCGAGATCGCTGCAAAAGGCTGGTACTTCTTGCTCGGTCACATTGCTCTTGCCAAATTTCGTTCGCTGAAACGCTCCCCAGTGGGATCAACGGATGACCTCGAAATTGCTAGGACGTTTTTCAGGCATGACCTCGAATTCGATACCGACAGATGGGAGACATGGTATAGACTAGCCCAGGTATACGATGCCATGATTGAAGAAGACAGTACGTGGACGGCAGACAAGCTAGACAATCACATGGCGGACCTGGCAGTGTTGCAACGAAAGGCTATACACTGTTACGCTATGGCTATGGCAGTAGGAACACGTTGCGGAGACGCGTCATTCGAAGGAACGAGCAAGATGGCTGATCTTTGCGCTGACTTTGGTACAAGGATCTACGCCTCAACTCGAGAGCCATTTTCAATGCGAGCTTTTGACATGAACGATTTTATGAGGTTTTTCAATAGAGCTGGGCAGGGCATGTATGAGAACCATCAATTCCCAGGTCTGAATCTGTATTCAGCTTGGAAATTTGCAAGTTCTTTACTTCGTCGGGCTTCGATCCAGAAACCTCAAGACTGGGTGTAAGTCCAACCAGGTACTAAACGCTTTCACGTTTGACTGATTTGACCAACAGAGTCTCCTACATGCTTGGCAAGGTGCTTTGGAAGATGCACAGTTATGGCGACAACGTCTATAGTAACGCTAAGCGCATTGGATATCAATTTGTCATCGATGCATTTGTACAAGCTATTGAGTCATGTCCGGACAAGCGTGACAGTCGACACCCTGACAAAGATCCGATTCTCGAGCCTCATTATAAGCTTGTTTCGGTGGTCTATAAGCTTCGCCTTTCAAGACAAATTTCGGTAGGAGAGTCAGCTGTGTCCTGTGTTCATCTCGCTAACATGAGCGTGTAGGTAGAGGAAGGTTGCCGGATTTTGAAGGCTACGCCATACTCACGGAAAGTCCCGGATGTTCAAGACACAGAGGATTGGGCAAGCTATATTCTGCAAATTATCAAAGCCCTTAGATCCGCAGATAAGGCAAATTGGCACCATCGTATGGTAGCAAGAGTAGGTTTCTTTTTCAGGACTCCTACAAGAGGAAGGCTAACACGTTCCAAGGCGGCTCACATCATCTACAATAATAATTCGAACGAAGCACAAACCGCTCTAGATGCAAAGCATGAGATCACACAACAGATCTTCACAAAGACCATGGCCATCCAAGTTTGGAAACCTGACAATGAACGGGCTGGGAGACACTTTGTCTATACTGGTCGATACGTCAGATTCTTCGTTCGACTTCTCTATCAATTGAATGACAAGTCTAGCTTAGAGGCGCTGGCACGGCGAATTCGCAAGAAAGCTGGTGACTTTGTTGGTCATGCTGGGATATGGCAAGAACTCTGTCAAGCATATCTAAAAGTACGCTCGAGCACTGGATTTTTTTTACGTCGAAGCGCTAATGAATTCAGCTCCTGCGCAACCAGCCATCCTGCAAAGTACCCGACCACTACCAAGAAGATGTATTCACAGGCATGAACCCGGAAACGTTTCAGCTTAACGCCTCTCGTCTCGAAGTCTCTGTACATTCGACGATGACGAACTCTCCAATCCTCGAAATTCTACGCGAAGCAATCGAATTCAAAAAACTGAACAACAACTACTTTAAGAGTGGAACTTTCGAGGAGCTCATCGGAGACATATATGCACATCTCTATGACACCTTCGTACCCGAACTCATCGCCAAAGAGACCGCTGAAGAAAACAGAGTCCGCATGAGACTGGATAACATACTCGCAGCCCCAAACAACGCCGCTGAGACACCTCCACCGGACCAGGCTGGCGAACAAGGTGCGGAGCGGAGGACCAAAGCCAATCGGGTCACTCCCCGGGAGATCATCAGAAAGGCTGAAGCGATCGCTATACGGCCCGCTCCTATGGTTCCAGCTAAGGCACTCAAATCGTTAGCACCAGCGCCTGCTTCTGAGCAAGACAGACCTGCTCCCAACTCACCAGTAGTAGCCGTCGTCATACATGAAGACCCGGTTAGGGATTTAGGAAGCAGCGTTCCAGGGAGTGTACATGATAGCGCGGATGACGAAAGCGAGTTGAGCGAGGTCGATGATGAGGTGGCAGAAGACAACCCCGTAAACGCAGTGGAGAGTAGGCCTCCATTATTCCCTAATCTCGTGAAAGTGGGGACGAACGAATCCGCTGGGGCAGAAAATGGAGGGGGCTTTGTCACTGCGAACGAAGCTCAGGATGATGAGGAAGAAGAAGACGACGACGATGACGACGAAGAGATGGGAGCCCCGCAAGAGGACCAAGCGGAAGTCGAGGGTCAAGTAGGCCTGGAAGAGCAAGAGCCATAAGGGAAGGGTGATGCAATGGAGCTGTACTGTAAAAAATATGATACCCTACAATTGTGCGGCATTTCGTGGACAACCGAAAGAACATTAGAGAAAGCTGGAGTTTGCCGCATGCAAGCCCTTCCAATACCTTCTTTCTATTCCACTAGAGTTCTGCCATAAATCAATTATACCTTGCACCTCATCTCTTCATTCTCTCGTCCACAATCTTCCCAACCATCCTCTCCAATACACCCCCACCACTGCCCTCTTTTTCCAATCCCTCAAAGTAACCCCTAACGCTCTTCTCAACATACTTCCCAACCATATCCACCTCCACATTCACCTCCTCCCCCTCTTTTTCGCAGCCATGACCACCCGCTCTTGCGTATAAGCAATCAGCATGACCTCCCACCAACCAGCCTTGTCATCTACAGCCGTAACAGTCAAACTCGCCCCATCAAGCGTCACATACCCCTTCTCCACCACATACCTCAGCACCTCTTTTTCCCTCGGCTGCAATCGGAACACCAAACTGTTGCCGTCGGGCGTTACGGAGAGGATCTTCGCGATGGTATCCACATGTCCCTGCACGAAATGCCCGCCCATGCGCGTTGTGGCGCTGACGGCGCGCTCGAGGTTTACGGGGGAGGATTGGGTGAGGGAGCCGAGGTTGGTGCGGCGGAGGGTTTCGGGGGATACGCCGACGGTGAATTGGGATGGGGTGAAGGAGGTTATGGTTAGGCATGTGCCTGGTTTGGAAAATGTATCAGCGGAGGAAGAATGTTGGGATGAAAGGTCGAGGCTGAGACGGAACAGAAGGACGGTAAAGTCGGGTAGGATGCGAGCTGGCGTACCGTTTATACTGATGCTGTCGCCCAAATGGGCATCTGTGAGGATCTCCCCGCAATCGGAGATTGTCAGTGAGGTCCCTCCTCCGCCGGCTGCAGTGTCATCTTGCTTTTCGAGGCGGGTGACGGCTGGCTGCGTTAGTTTAGCTAAGAAAAATAATGGCTGACAAAAGAGGGAAATTACTGCCTGTGACTTCGACTATGCCTGTGAACATGATTCACTAATGTTCAGCAAAAGTTTGAGGGCAACAAAATTGATAGGAAGGCATCTGGAGCAATGGTGATGATATCGCGGAACCATTTCCGCGTCTGAAGCCGAGGTTCGCGGGGCGGGTTGATTGTTTGAACGACATGATATGTTTTCTTTTCCCTCTTTCTCTTCCTCCACCTTAGCTTCTTGATTTTGATGTACGATGGCTACTTCAAGGACATCATTAGGTCTGGCAAGGCACTTGAAGTCTCGTATACGGCTCAATGGCTTGAATTGCTCGCTTTGCAGGGGTCTTGCAACCGCCGCAGCGGACTCCCCCACATTGCCGTTGGCGGGTATTCGGGTTCTGGACATGACTAGAGTCCTGGCGGGCGTATGTGTGGTAAAGGCAAACCTGTGTTCGTTTGGCTAACGATGTGAAAAGCCATATTGCACGCAAATACTTGGAGACCTCGGGTAGGCATTGTCAAGTCCAGTATGATGAACCCACGTGGCCGGCCACAAGATTTGCTGAGCCAAACCTAACGATGGAACTGAATAGGGCAGAAGTCATAAAGATTGAGCATCCTATCCGAGGCGATGACACTCGAGCATGGGGTCCTCCATACGCAAAACATATTAGAGGGGACAAGCAAGATAGTCCTGGAGAGAGTGCTTATTTCTTATCGGTACGCTTACTGTTACAAAGAAGCCGGAGATTCGGCTTCGTATTGGTAGCTGACTAGAACATTGTAGGTGAACCGGAACAAGAAGTCTGTTGGACTTTCTTTCGCCTCTCCGTCTGGCGTCTCGATTCTGCATAAGCTAGTGAAAGACTGCGATGTACTCGTAGAGAATTATCTGCCCGATGCCTTGCAGAAATATCAGATGGACTATTCCACGCTATCGAAGATCAACCCATCTCTTATCTACGCCAGTATTACAGGTTACGGCCAGACTGGCCCCTATCGCAAACGCGCCGGCTACGATGTGATGGTTGAAGCGGAAATGGGCTTGATGCACATTACTGGCGCTCGAGATGGACCGCCTGTGAAAGTGGGAGTAGCTGTCACTGACTTGACCACGGGTTTGTACACCTCAAATTCAATAATGGCAGCCTTACTTGGGCGAATGAGGACAGGGAAAGGCCAGCACATCGACGTAGCGTTAAGTGATTGCCAAGTGGCGACTTTGGCCAACATGGCAAGTTCAGCATTAATCAGCGGTCAGCCGGACTCAGGGCGGTGGGGAACAGCCCATCCCTCTATTGTGCCATACAAAGGTTTCAAGACCGCCGACGGAGATATTCTGCTCGGTGGGGGCAACGACCGTCTCTTCGGGGTGCTATGCGATAAGATTGGCAAGCCCGCATGGCCAAAAGATGAGAGATTCAACACCAACAGCGCGCGTGTGAAGAATCGAGAGACACTGGAAGCGATGATCGAATCTGAGACGACGAAGAAGACTACGGCAGAGTGGCTGCAGGTACTAGATGAAAGCGGTATGCCCTATGCGGCTGTGAATGATATCCAGGGGACTATGAATCATGAGCACGGTATGCAACAAAAACTCGTCTGGGAACCTGCGGACTAACAGATGGTCTTACAGTGCTCGCCCGCGACATGGTCAAAGAAATCGAGCATCCCACCTGCGGTCCGATGAAACTCGTAAACACACCAGTGAAGTACTCCTACTCGGAGCCGAGTATACGGACACCGCCACCCCTACTAGGCCAGCACACCGAGGAAATACTCAGAGACATCGTGAACATGGACGAGAGTGAGATCAAGGATTTGAAGGCAGAGGGCGTCGTTGCTTAGCTTTTACCTCTTGAGGACTTGTTTACAGGCGAGCCGCCAAGGAACAGTGGCGGTCCTGCGCAACTAGGCTATCGGATCTGGCACGATTTATGGGTATCAAGCGGGATATTCAGGCTGGCTATCATGTAGATCCAGCTCAGAGAGAGCCTTGATTGGCACGATCTGTAGATATCACACCGAATGTTCCCACTGACATCACATAAATCCAGCCCAAAGAGACCGTTCTGGCACGATCTGTAAAAGTCAAGCCGAGTATTTCCGCCGCGGGAGTTGAAACCAGTCCGGACAGAGCCTTCGACAACAGAAGCTCTACTCTTCCAGCAAGGAAGTGTCGAATTCCCTGAGACTCTCAATCCTACAGCTACGACATCTTCTGGCAGCACGCCTCATGAAGATGGGAATCAGTAGTGCTTGCTCCAATCATTTCATTCTGTGTCTCTTTGTTGAAAAGAATGGCTAGGTCTCATAAGGAGATTACTAGCCGACTAATGACATCTCTCTTTGTTGAAAAGAGTTATTTCGAGCAAGCACCACGGAGGAGCCGCGAGGGTCATCAATATTGAGAAGAAGCGACTTTCAGCGAGCCTAGGTGACAAGACCGGGGGGGAGGAGGTTATATCTTCATAAGGAGCTTGACGTTTGAGAAGATATAGTCGTGATTGGCCGATATCGGAGAGGAGAAGAACCGCAGGTGTATGCGCCATGAAGGGAACAAACTCGACCGTAAAGGTAGGAAAGGCTGATGGGGTTGCGATAGCGATGAATGCCTGAGGGAATTCCCTTCAATATCGAGGTCTACCTGTAAAAATGACCGTGCTGCCATAGTGATGTCGTGAGTAGGAAAGGATGATTTCGTTGAGGGGGGCGTTGAGTGGAGTGTGCTTGGTTTCTCGCTGCTGCTTGCTGATGGTGAAAGGCAAGAATGGGCCTGTGGTTGTTATGCGGGGAAGGAGTGGACGGCAGTAAAGTGCCAAGGATAGGAAATCTCGAAACAGGTCAGTGTCCGCTCCATAGGAACGGACTCGATCGGTATCCGCATCAGGTTCGTTCCTTTGCAAGGATGCGGATGATGATCATATGATAGCTACGCGGCATGAGGATTGGAAACCTTTCGAACAGTCCCAATCATGAACGAGGGTAGGCAGACAGCAACTCTTATAACGAACGAGATTCAAGAGCAGCGCAAAGTCTGTCGACAACCCCTCGTCGATGATCTAGGGTGTTTCGGGATGAGCGGTTCGCCGAGACTTCCGGACTCCGTTGGCGGCCGCACTCTGACAGTCTGGAGGGTCGTGGATTTCGGGCGGAGGGGACGTCGTCACGGACGTAGGAGGGGTTGAATCGGTGGGAGTGTTGGGGGGGACGAAGATGACGTCGCAGGCCTTTGGTGTCTTGAGGTGAGCAGCCCATCAGTGCTCTCGTTGCCGACTGCTTCCCGAGAAAGTGGGTTGTCAAGAGACATAGAGGGCGTAGGATAGTTGGAGCCTTTGGCGCCTGAATGGAATGAGGATGAAGATTGACCTGCTAACCTCGGCTGTCTTGAAGGTCTGAAGGAGCCTTGAGTTCTGGGTGTGAGTGTTGCAGCGAAAGCCGCGTTGTTCAAAGGCAATGGGGCCGTAGGGTAGTTGGCAGCTTCGCCGCTGGTGAAGGACGATAAAGAAGCAGGCGTCCCAGGTGTCTGGCACCTTGGCGCGAAGATTGAAGCGATGTTCTTACTGGAAGTGGGTGAACCTGGGTGGCTTTGCTGCGGAGCAGTAGCTATACTCTGGCGGTGGGAGACCGGATCGATAACCGAAGCACTTGAGTGGAGGCAGTATGCTCGATGCCCTGCAACAACACTTGATGTATGCGTGTGTTGGGTGCTGAGAGGATACAGTTCTGGAGTTTGGTGAGATGTACGAGTATCACTCCTGCCAATGATATTGTGACCCTTCAAATGGAAGTATTGATTCAGACAACGCTCGGCGTTGCGAGAAAGGGAATTTTCGGTGGATATCCCCAAGCGTCTTTCCCGCATCACCCAACGCGCAGAGTTTCCGGTTCTCCTCCTCAGTCCAGGGCTTTTCTGCTTCGTGATAACTCGGACCCATCTTGCCGATGGTGTGTTTGCGTTGGCTTAAGGATCGATGCTTACGTTTGCCTTTAAACATAGGCTTTTCAGCAACTTCCTGCCAACTTAGATCTTCTCCGTCCTTGTGGCAGAGCGCCCAATCCTCGAATAGTGAGTACTGGGGCTTTCCTCCGCCCTGGCCATCATCCTCCTGTTGGTCATCCTGTTCCAGCAGCGTATGCTTTTGATTCGCTGCTAACACTCGCGATAGCACGTCAAGACGCGCTTGGTAGATGTTGCGCTTTAACGAGAATTAGCGTTCATTCCATACTGCATAGCTATTGGCTTACAGCTTTATTACACTCCATTCGTTCTTCGAAGCTCCAACTTCTGATGATCAATTCTTGCAACAAAACGCAGGCTTGCTCGTACGCACGCACGGCTTCTGTGTAATTGGACTGTTGGTCCATTGATTGTGCGTAGCGTGCAACACTCCATGCTTGGAACATACTGACCGAGGGATCTTGACGCTGCAGACGATTAGCTTGTTGGGAGTCTGAACTCTTTTGCGTTGATGGGTTGGAACTTGTTGAAGGAGATGAACGCGGAGGACGTCCTGATTCGTGAGAGGCCATCGAAATAGGCATCCTGGATTCCATGTCCTTAAATTCTTTTCCGTTCTCTTGGGAATGACCATGCAGACAACCGGGTAAATGCGGTTGTATGCCCATCAAGTCAGCTCCTCTGGTTATCGACTCCAAGGACTGTTGTCCATTCTGCACTGATGTTTCTCTGAGATGGGGAGGTAAGATCGTAAGACCTTCATACCTAGATTGGTGTTGACGGCTGCCCTGGAATTGGTCAAACGGATGACCACCTTGGAACGGCAGGGAGCCCATCGAAGCACTCCCTTGAGATCCCGAGGCCATGGCATGTGGTTGAGGATAAGTGAGTAGGCCCATCGAAGCTCCTCTCGTTGCAAATTGCTGTCGGTTGTCTTGGGCTTGACCATACAAGTGATCACCATGGCAGAAGTGGAGCCCCATTGGAGCAACGCCACTGATCGTTGAGTCCGTGAGTCGTTCACTGCTGTTGTCGGGAGCTGGAGAGAAACCAGGGAGGTCCGCTTCGCCAGTGTTTGGGTCACTACAATCCTTGACTGGATCCCACATCTTGGCTCTTGAAGAAGGTTCGTCATCAAGAGAGCTTTGTCGCCGTACACGGGCAGCAGCTCTAACGGGCGTGAAGCCTTCTTGCTCGTGAGGGACGCCATCCATGGCCGAAGTAGGCTGGTGGTACGGGATTCTGGCATTCATGCGTTGACCGGCTTCGATGTAGGACCCAGTGAGGACATCATAATTGGCTCCATTAGTAGATGGCTGAACATGTGTGACATGGCTGTTGATGTCATTATGGACGAAATTGGCCTCAGTGTGGGATGACATGGGGCTCTTCAAGGCTTCGGGTCTCTTCCTTTCGAACATCCTGATCCTGGTGCTGCCGCTGGTTTGGCTGGGTTTGACGCTCTTGTTCAAGGGTTTGTAATGTCACGTAATTGTGGTAAAGAGAGGGAAGGGAGAGTTAGAAGGGAATCCCGCCCTGTTCTGATATCCATAACACATGCATGGTAGCATTCAATCCTCAAAGTGATGGAGCTCGCCTCATTGTTGCTCCCACACTATTCGTCTCTTTGTCTACACTTCGGATCGAACCAGCCATACCCAGCGTTCCCCATGCTTTGGTTTTTGCCGATCGTTGCTCGTAGTAGGCCTTTGAAAACGATCCAATTAATGACTGCTGTGTTGTTCAATATCATGGGGTCTTACGGCGCCGATACTCCGTTAGCACGCTAGACCCCTCATTCGTTGGAAAGGTTCCGATGACTGTCATTTGTTGAATCTCTGCTCACATGACATAGACTTATATGGGGTAGGTGCCATTGCAGGAGGGTGTGATGCACGAGACCGCCAGGAAGACTTCAATGTAACAACGTAGTCCATTGCCAACACGCTTAATAAGGGCAAGTATTTGAGGTTCAACACTGCTGTAGAATGCTAATTCAAGTGCTGCAGATCTTTGTCGTGCAGGTCCATGGGTTAAGATGCCATTGCAGAACAGCTTCTGGGAATGTGGAAAGTTTTGTGTGTGTGGCTCTCAGGATTAGTGGCGAGACTTGTCACTGAATCGTTACTGAGTAGTACTATGCGGTTCCACGGAACGCAAAAGAGCAGCCTTGAAGGCTGCAGACGCAAAATTCTTCGAAAATTACCTCTTCACCTGTGTATCGAGGACATCTAGACTCCGATGAGGGCTGTAACCTGCTCAATTTCACGTGAGTTTCGGGCATCAACATGGAGAAATGTCTTATTCAAGACAGTGATTCCTTCAGGAAGAGCTATTACGGTGAGAGAAACTTTTCATTGCCGCTGCTCTTGTGAACGTTATAGAAACAGTACAGCTTATGGTTGAATGCTTTTTTACCCTGCATGGACGCATCCATCGGACAATGCTCGACGTTGCATCAGGGTCTGTGACGACCAGCAAATGAGACCGTAATCTAACAGCTTAAGATAATAAGGGCCGTGTTGTGCAGCTCACGGATTCTGAGTCCACCCAATGTTGAGAGATTCCAGGGTGGCAGAATTTGCCGGTCTTTACTAGTAAGCCAGCAACATGATCAGGCAAGGTCCAATCGACCTGGAAAGTGACAAGGGAGTCTTGATCAACGAGAGAGGAAGGTCCAACGGGGTTGAGAAGCCAGGTGTCAGGTAGCCGTAGTAGGAAGGAAAGCCGTCGAAACGGAGAGATAGAACGCATTGCAAAGGGTAGCCTATCACGTTGATAGCGTGCTCGTATATTTTAGACTCTTAGAGGAAGGCCGTTCAGTGGTTACTGATCCTACGCGCACGGAAGGATCCTGCGTAGAGGCCCACCATATCGCTTAGATCCTTATGCGGAGAATACTCGCCACTTCCGCGGGTCAGGACAATCTATACTGTACTGTATTCTGTAAGGACTTTTGAAGTTCGTGAAATTTCGAAGACAATTTGGAGTTGAACAATTTGGAGTTGGAGCAGATCAGCATATTATATTACAGAACGAGCTAGCGCGGCAAGTCCAAAAGCGACTTCAAGCTCAATCTGCAATTATCTCCACACAGCTCCTACTGTATAATGGGTGGGGAGCAGGCAATTTCTGTCCCAATGAGCTCTACGACGGAAGATTCAGATTGGAATATGTCTCCAAAATCAAGGCGTCCGCACAGTCTTTCTAACACAGATACCGTACGTCCAACATCACAGCCAGTAATCCCTCGCCAGTCTCCCACGTCCCAAGTTGACAGCTCCGCCCTCTCTACGCCTCGCGCCGGAAGCTTTGCTTCAACAGCTACGCAGATAGAAAAACAGCTAGAAAGTCAATTATCTCAAGCCGTAGCAACTACGTTCCCGTCCGCCCACGCCCAACCTGCAGTAACTCCAAGTTCTGCCATACTTCCAAATCCTGCTCTTACAATTCCTAATGCGGATGGCTCCATCTTGATCAATCAGAATACGCCAGAATGGGAGGCTGCGCGGGAAGCGGTCCTCAGCCAGATGGTAACAAGCCAAGATATTACTGCTACGCCCACGCCCAAGGTGACCAGAGGAGGGGTTAAGACTGGTGGAAGGAGAGGTAGAGGGGGCAGAAGGACCAAAGTCAAGATCGAAGAACCGGACGACACTCCACCAAAGAATCTGGATGCTCCTGTCAGAGCCAAGAATAAAGGTGGGAGGCCACGAGGCAGCAGGGCAGGTGGAACCCCAAGAGGCGGTAGAGGAGGAACGCCAGGAAGTGGTAGAGGTGGCGCAACACCCGGGAGTGTTAGGGCAGGTGTCAACAAAGGGGGCCGGCCTCGAGGCAGTAGAGCCGGACACAGTGCAGCAGCGCTGGCTGGCCGGTTGATTGGTCGGGGTATCAAGAGAAAGAGGAAGAAGGGCGATGACGACGACGACGATGAAAAGGATGATACAGATGCGTCTGAAGAATTTACACCAATCGCTGCAACGAGTTCCGGTCGCCGTATTAATCAAGTAAAGACGTTCTCTCCTGTGGTCCTCGATCCGGTGAAAGGCCTAAGTAACAAGACCCCTCAAAGTGCTGCGCGTGCTCCTGTGCCCGAGCCCCCATCGACTGCAAGGAAAACGAAAAAGAGAAGGAAACCCGGTGAAGCTGCAGTCTGTATCAATTGCGGCCGTGGTCACTCGCCTAATTCTAACATGATCGTTTTCTGTGATGGCTGCAGTACGCCATGGCATCAGTACTGCCACGATCGGCCCATCACACCCTCATTCATCCAGATTGAGGAAAAGGAGTGGAATTGCGCAGAATGTACTGTTGTGCAAGAGGAGAAGATGCACCTGACTGGCAAAGTTAGCGCAGGCAGAATGTCCTTATCGGAGAAGAGAACCTATCTGCAAAATTTGGAAAAGGCAGAGCTTGTAAGCTTGCTGCTGCATGCAAGTACTCTTCATGAAGATCTGCCTGTCTTTGGTCCACCACCTCCACCGCCTCCAGTGCAAGTGCTTGAGCCCACGGCAGATGAAGAAGAGCTCTATGTCTACGTTGAACCGGATCCACTGCCTTACCCTAAGGCTGGCAATGGCTTACTACTACCGCCGGAGGATGATGATCTTGACATACTGATTGATGAGGACATTGTGACATACAGTCACCTATGGAAGGGACCTGCTGGTTGGGAGGGGCCTAATGGGATGCGCTGGCCTTTCCCGCCAAACGGCATAGGGGCGAGAGGGGTCATGGGAGCTCCCATCCATCAGATCGGCGTTGGAGCTTGACCTTGGCAAGGAATCGGGCAGTCCGAGGACATTACGGGACGATGCATTCATAGCTCGAGCTGGTTTTACCTACCATGTACATAAGGTACTTCAACGCAACTTCTAGGCGAGTTGAGCGAAAAAGTTGCAATTGTAGCGGCATGAATCTTTTGGAATTTTGGTAAGATAAGCACGCTTGAGCTGCTTCTATGGACTGATTGTATCTAAATACCTTTCCAATTTGGAGGAAGTCGGCATTCAAGTGCCACAATTTTCGATAGCGAATCCTGAACACCAGAGGCTGACGCCAAGACGAGCATTTGCTCTCATTGTCGAAGTTGGAAACTAGAACCGAGGCCGCCGTGAAAAACTGCCTTCTTGGCTAGCACCATCATTATCCTGCTGCCCCCACTTCGCGCCAGATTTTGTGTTTGGAATTGTTTACGTACGAAGCTTAGGTGTTTTGCGCTCTGCTGTAGGAGTAAGTCTAATAGATGATGCGTATGATGCGTGGAAAGACATCATCTTGCATTGATTAGGGTCCACATGACTTCAAATGTTAGAACTTGGAAAGAAACGTCATTCGTAGGGCTAAACAACGAGGCTCAAAACCTTCCTCCCTCGAGTAGCTTTAGGCAAGGGGCAAACGGAACGAGCGTTGGTGCAGATATTTTAGCATCCTCTCTCCTCTCAATATGGCAGCAGAGCATGTGAGTCATGAAGAAGAGAAGATCCTATCCTGCTCGCAATTATCTGAGCCTGGGTTTGCCTGCCAGCGGGACTTGGATACTCGTCGTATCACTCTGACTTGCAATCCCTTCCAACGCAGCTCCGTGTACGCAAAAGTAGTTTGTAGGCGCCGTGTGAGACGTAGGAATGACATGCAGTTTGGTGAAAGCTTCTGGCGGTGAAGGATTTATGGCATTTGAGCCAATTGGAGTCCCTTAATAAGATTATTAGCGCGCCAAAAATTCCCACGTTATGGCCTTCCGCCCGCTCCTCTACTCTCTTCTTTCCTCCTACAACCCATTTTCCAGACAACGAAGTCGCACTACACATCTTTACAAAGAGCACACATACACATCCAACCAATAATACCGTCGATTCAACATGCCTCAGGCGATCGCTGTGCTGTAAAGACCTACTGAAGGGCATGTGGAAACGCATGCCCTTCAGTACTGGCCAGCCCAACGAGTATCTCAATCGACTATCGACGTTATTATCTCTTCGATTGCTTCAAAGCATCACCCCTGAGCATTCGAAGCTCTTCACACTACAAAGTCAGGTCGCGCTCCTCGGTCCTCGAGGCTGAAGGAGGATTGTGGTCTGCTCACCGCCCTCTCATCGAACACAAAAACATTACTTAAAAGATCTCTGAACAAACCCTGAAGAGTACACCATTCTGCAGAGAACTCAGAACCCACCATTTTGACAATACGATACCCCCCTCCATAACGTCTCTACCCCTGGGGATCCCAGGAAGGGTAGCACGAGACTACTACCTACATACAAAAACGCTATACAATACACACCATAAGCCTCACCATGTCTCGCAAATCGAGTCGCAATGCCTATGCGCCGATTGGCGCGGCGCCAAACCCATTGGAAATTGACCATGCTTCTGGACACAAAAAGTCCAAAAGAAATCAGCCTCGACTAGACCAGTCGAGCAATACCTATACAGAGAGACCTACACCGAAAAATTCCTCGCCGAAGCACGGAGGAGGACAAGCTTCCTGCAGCACATCCAGCGACGATGACGCCGATGGAGATGTCAGCAATTTGGACGCTGCCGAGCCTGATGAAGAGAGTGACGACGATGGGGAGGGGGATGCATTTGCCCTGTCTGGTCGCGCCATCAAGGGGGATGGAGATCAGGCGGGGCGTAGCAAAGAAGACGTTGGCGATCGCGAATCAATCTTTGAGGGAAAGAAGAGCCATGGCCCCACCGCTTCCAAGGGCAAAACTAAAATCACGAAAGCGAGACCTACCTTGCGCGATTCTGATGACGATGTCTACAATCGTGTTGATCTGATCAGCGACTCAGAAGAGGATGAGCCCAATGTCGAGCAATTGGAGGAAAGGAACATTATTGAATCAGAGGAGGCTGACGATCTCAACACTGCGCCAGCATACCTTGATGCATCGGATGGATGGGAAGGATTCGAACTCGAAGACGGCTTATTCCTCGAGGATGTTCCGTACTTTGACGAACGGTATGGCCGCACTGATTCGAACATTCTCGACAGTGAGATGGAGCTCTTTCAATCGGCAAGCATCTTCGATGGATTTCCTTCGCCTCCGCCACCATCGCCATCCCCTCGTCGGGTTCGTTTCAAGGAGCCAATCTCGCAATTATCGAACGATTCCGATATGGACTCGGATCGCGGAGACATCAACGTTCTCTTCTCTCCTGTTGTTACTCCTACTGTACCATCAGGTGGGGATCTGGACTTGGGTGGCCCATATTTGGATTACGAAGACGACGATGGCAGCTCTGTTGGAAGCTCCAGCGGGTACGAAAGTGGGTTGCATGACTTGATCTCATCTGCGAAGCTAACATTGCTCCTTTTCAGCTGATTATGGCGACACCACTGATGAAGAAGATGTTCCAGCTTCTGCAACCAAACGACCACAGTCACTTCTTCGTCAGCCATCGCTGTCGTCGCTGGAGCTCGAGGCTCAAGTTCCTGCCACGCCAGCAGCAAATGGTCCATTCACATTCCCTGGAACTCCTGCCGGATATCGTCGTGGCCCACGCATGGGTACCTGGATAGTCGATTCCACCAAACCATGTGCGGTCATCGACAGCACTGGTGAGAACATGATCATCCGTCCCGCGACGCGTCCATCTAAACCTAACGATATGTCTGTGTCAATAGCCAACAGTATCATAAGCACTGCGAACGCAAGCCCGATTGTTTCGCAGCCGACGTTGGGCAATGCACCAGATGGCAATGGCATTGACCCCAGTAGCTTTCCAAGTCAAGCCTCCATGTACGAGTATAATGATCCAGTACTTGGACCGGCCTCTGATATTTTGGCGGCTTCCGCTCCTCTTCCGGCTGGCCACAGCCGACAGCCTTCGATGGATCATTCATTTGCTGCATCGTCTGTCTTCGTTCCCATGGATGCAATGGGTAATGTCAGCTCTTTTTTCGAAGACGACGACCTGAACGACGATGATGACGACGACGATGCTCTCTTGAATATCGATGACTTCATTGATTTTGGCGACGACTCCTCAGAGGACGGAGACCAAGCTGCAGGCGATGATTCGGCTCTAACATCGCCTGTCACAACGGAAGGTCCTGGCCCGGTCCAATTAAAGACACCGTCGCCTGATGCTACTATGGCTTCAGACGACCTTATGAAACACCTCGATAGGCACATCGTGTCTGCATTCCGTCGCGGACAGCCTCATCACCAACCTCAACCGCGTCCTCGTCATGGTAACTTGTCGTTGAACAGCTACGCACTCAAGGGTGGAAGGCAAGCTGCTGCCAATGCTCCGATGGGCCCTCAGAAGAAGCGCAAGATGAGTGGGAGCTTCGGCCATCGTCCATCGTTTGGGGTTCCCGCTGCCAAGAGGAGAATGATTCATCATCGCTGAATGATGATGACGGATTTGCACTACTTACAAATCCAAGATGAGATAGATGCATTCAGATGATACTTGCACGAATACTATATGAGGACGAGGAAACGCTAGAGAAAGCCAAGAGGCACCAGAAGCACTTTGGATCTACGCGCACCGCCGGCTACGAGTGTTGGCTTCCATATGCGACAGTATACACAAAAGCACCAAAAAGGAGAGGATCTTTACGATTTTGACGAGCTATGCAGCTACGGCCAACTGCTCATGGAGATAATAGGAGTTGCGCTTTATAATCATTCGGATTATCATTTCATGTTTTCGGAATACAACGGCTTTAAGAGCTTCCTGCATATCATGCTCAGAATGTTTGGTCCAGCATCTCTACGGAGATTCACTAGGAGTTATGCGAACGATGTCGATGTCATAGTGCTGCGCATTTGCCTCGAGATACGATGATACCACAAAAGTCGGGCTTTTTCTTCGCTTTTACTACTTCCTTTAGGTTCAGTGGGCTGAGGCGAGCACTACTGGCTACTGTTTTCATGTATCCAGTAAGATCCGACTGATAGAATAGGTCTCTAGAGACATCGAGTTAGGCATGCTAATCAAGCTCATTTGACCTGATGGCTCATCGCAAGTTACTTTGTACTAACTTTGAGGCTTTGTACATGGCGCTTCTCAGTCTTAGCTGCCCAAACCATGATCAGGGCATTAGGAAGTAGCCCAGTATTAAGGTGATAGTGTGTAGAATATCATGGCGATGGCAAGACGTCTTCAATAGTTCCGTCACGAAAGTAAAGTGAAGAGGTCTGGCCCACTAGTCCGCTTTGGGCTCGGCTTCACCGTAAGCGGCCGAGACCATTTTCTTTGATTTCTCGCTGATGTCGCGACTTGCCAGCTTACAGGCTTCACGTCGCACTTTCGCAGGCATCCTCCCTCACAGATTCAAGCAGATCTTCAACACAAACATCACAACTCTCCTACAGTCGTCATCATCATTTATGGGGCCATTCAGAACCTCTACCATTACCATTACCGTCCCGACCCCAAGCCCAGCCATCTCGCGCTGCAAAGCGAAGTGCATCGGAGTATCCCAGACAGAAAAGTTTTTCGCCACTGAAAGTACCTCGGTGCTGTGGCTACTGGCGGAGGGTCCGTCCTGAATGGGCGGACGGTAATAAGACCGCGATCATATTTGTGGATCGACAAACATGTATGGGCCCTCTTGAACTAAGGTACCTGGCAAAGTATCCACACTCATCGTATGCCAGAAGTCTGCGAAGACGCAACTCATAACTCTTTGAATGTCCTGGCCGGTCGAGCGCCGCCTATAACTTGTCCACTCGCGCGACGATGTTCGCTTTCGACGCTACAGACAAACACTTCTCCAACTCTCATCTGGATGAGTCATTCGCTCCTGTCGCCCCTATTCCAGCACTTGATGGATTGACAGTCGAGGACGGAGATGGGCTTCTACATGAGAATAGTGAAATCAGCAACACGGCGGACGCAATAGGGGAACACTCCAATCACTCCTGCCCAAGGGATCGGCCGAGCTCTAGGCTCGGTCCGGAACCCGTCGAGCCTACACTGAGCGGACATGGTACTCCACCAATAGATATCGTCATGACACCTTCGATGGCCAGAAGTCGGAGCAGGGCTAGGAGCGAGCACGAGGATCACGCATTGGCCGAGGCTACACCAAGACCTCTCCCCAAACCTGCGCGCAAGAAGAGGCGTGGGCCAAAGAAAGGCGCAGTGGCAGCATTGAGTACGGTACGGGGATTTACGCCCGTGACCTCTGGCGACGACGATTCCGACTTCGACTTCTCCTCGGAAGGCTTTCGCAGAAGGAGGGAATTGAGCGTTCAGCGTTCCAGCAGTATTGTGAGGAAGGACCTGAGCCTCGATCGTTCTGGGCGATCTAGTATTGGCAGCGCCCTTGAGGTTCGATCATCATCGCCTTCAAGTGGCATCAGTGCTCTCACAAGACAATTAGATGGCTTGGAATGTGATGGCTCCCCCGGCAAAACTTCGCTATTGAGGAACAAAAGCAAGCTTGGCTCGGAGACCGCTAGCAGTGCAAGCGTGACATCAGGGACCAGCGGCGACGAAGATACACCGGAGACAACCAGCTACGAAGTGCCTTTAGAGCATGACTTTATCAGTTCCGATATCACACAGAGGGACAGACGCGATGCTCGGCCGGACAATTTGTTGAACGGTGGGGTGGTTCGGAAGATGCAAGCGACTGATTTCGACCCTCTCCGCTGTCTTGGCAAGGGTACCTATGGGACTGTCCTTCTGGTCAAGCAGGCATGCACCGGCAAGCTCTATGCGCAGAAGCAATTCCGGAAGGCCTCGTTGACCGTGCGCAAACAACTTGTAGAGCAGACAAAGACGGAGCGAAGTATCTTGGAAAGCATCAACCGCCATCCATTCGTGGTGAAGCTCTACTATGCGTTTCAGGATCATGAGAAGCTGTACCTCATTCTTGAGTATGCCCAAGGCGGAGAGCTCTTCGAGCATTTGCGGACGGAGCGAATGTTTCCTGAGGAGACCGCTGCTTTCTACATGGCGGAGATGGTACTTGCCCTCGAACATCTGCATCACACCGTCGGTGTCGTCTACCGCGATTTAAAACCGGAGAACTGCCTTCTCGATTCCGAGGGGCATCTGCTATTGACAGACTTCGGGCTTAGCAAAGAGGCCGTTGACGGAGAGCACCGCTGCAAGTCAATGACCGGCACAATTGAATATATGGCTCCCGAAGTGATCCAAATGCAAAGCTACGGGACAGCAGTGGATTGGTGGTCCTTCGGCATTCTAGGCTTTGATCTATTGACCGGCTCATCGCCCTTCCGCGCCAACAACGACATGAAGATCCGAGAAAAGATCGTGAAGGCCAAGCTGGTCCTCCCCTACTTCCTCAGCCCTGACGCAAAAGACCTCCTGACGCGCCTTCTCCGCAAAGAGCCGAAGAAACGGTTGGGCGCTTGCATGCCGAAGGACATGCAAAGCATCAAGAGCCACCGCTTCTTCCGAAAGATTGAGTGGGCGAAACTGGAAAGACGGGAGACGGAACCGCCGATCACACCACTCATCACTGATCCAGAATTGGCGGAGAACTTCTCGTCTGAGTTTACGGATCTGGCCGTCAGTCCTGTGCTACCGGGCCCGTTGAGCGGTAACAAGAGCGAGCCGGATCCTTTTGGTGGTTTCAGCTTTGTAGGAAGTCGCAGCTTGCTGGAATGCGGGAATGGATTCTTCTGAAGGGGAAAGAAAGGGGACGGATGACGGACAGCGCTGGAGGATTGAGGAGTGGTGCTCTTGAACTGGCTTGTGCTCTTGAACCGACTTGATTGGTTGGATGGCGTTGGCACTGTTTGATGGACAGCATGGGTAGAAAAGCTTGGATCGTGCTCGCGTATTTGCTTTGAGGCTCTTTGATTAATTTTCTTTTCAATCGACTGCATCTGAGATTGTTGAAGATGAGGGATTTTCGATAGACGACTCGGCAATAGATCTTTTACACACATGCGCCATTTGGGCGGTTGCCCTCTCATTCTGTACGAGCTGTTGAATCGATTTCGGCGGTCATGTTGGGACCAGGAGGAGGTGGATATGCATTCTGCACAGGACCAGGCACGGTTCGCAAGCAAGGGGATCGTTCCCGCAGCTCCCACGTTTCCCAGCTCTCGTATCTTGGGAAATCTTTGGATCGGATGGGTCCTCCAATTCGGATGAAACAACAGTTCAAGTTAGCTCCATATCGAGCTAATCTCCAGCCTATGAGGATTCAGGGGTAGCGCGCGGCAGCCTGCGTTAGTGCATCCGGGGCCTGGTACACCAACTAGGACCCACCGAGTTATCGACCCCCTCTTTTTTGATGGATGTGACATTTTTAAATTTTAGTGGGATGATATTCAGGCCCACGGTCAGGGACTACTGGGATACTGGAATCAAGGTACTGTACAATGATATCAGTATTCAGGGAAGCATCTATGCACGCAAGAGACTCTGCCGATGCAGGTAAGAGTCCCAATCTACATCTCACTTCTTTCTTCAACAGAGATGAGATGGAAGCCGAAGCTGACAACATAAGTGCAAGGCCTCCCGATCTTTCACCCTGGCCCCAGACCACCACTCTTCCAGCAGTAGTCATCATTCTATTATTTCGATATTTCGATATTTCGTCTTCGCAGGTTGACATACGCCTTCTAAGTAAGCGGGGAATCCGACCAATGGATGCTGAAGTTGAGCAGTTGAAACAGTGCCTGCCACTCGCTCTTGAATCTTAATGAATACCTTAGGATAGTCAATGCTACGCCTCGCACCCCAGGGTGGGACGATGCACTAGAGCAAGGTTAATCTGACAGTCCATGTCTGCCATGCATCCACCCCGCATCTCGAACCATCCCATCATCCTTTTCTTCATTTCTTCTCATCCCAAAGAAACCAAAACAAAAAACTCCTCTCCGCCATCTCCATTCTCGTCTCCTAACCGAGCTCTTTGCCATCCCCGCACTTTCACAGCACTCAATCTATGCAATTTGACTGCACCATGAAACAGGACCCATGCAAGACTAATGCTATCCCGGTAGTGTCCTTGACAAGATTCATGCAGATCTGCTGGCTCCTGAGCTTGACAAGTGCAAGAGCCCGCACGGGAGGTAGATAGGAAAGGGGAGACGGGAGGGGATGGAAGGTCTTCGTTTTGCCAAGGGGATCGAATAATAAGATGACTTGTGATATATATCTCTGTCTGCCCCCAATCACTTTACTCTCTTCTCCAGGACATCATACAATCGTCTTCCGCACTCATTACTTGCATCAGCATTTACATTCCTTTTCTTCGTCAATATTCAACATTCAGACGCATCAAGCTCGTCTTTTACCCTCCTTGCCTCATACCTTCACCTTTTCAACCTATTCAAATCATCATACTACGAACCCACAGCAATGCATTTCGCACGGTTCTCCCCCCTTCTCCTTTTGGCCAGCACAGTCGCAGCCACGCCCCGCCACCCCTGGAAGGGTAAGTGGGAGTACTCCCATCATCATTCCTCCTTCGCGTCCCTAAAGGATGCATCCGCCGGCTTCGCCATGCCTTCTGGAACAGGCGTCGCTCCGGTGATCCCTCAGGGCACAGTGCTGGTCGCTGCTCCCAAGGCTCTTGTATCCCACGTGCCCTCTGTGTCCTCGACCGAGTCCGGCGGAGGCGACACTGAGAAGGAAGCCGCCAAGCCACAAGAGAACCCAGGCTTACCATCTTCCTCAGCGCCAGCAAACGCAGTTTCCTCGACGCCTGCCGCCGCTACTGCTAGCAAACCAGCACCTACCACGTCTGCATCCCCACCCTCCGGCGGCGGAGTCTCCTACAGCGCCACCTTCACCCAGTACGTTTTCCTCCACTTCAGCCCCTACTTTTCTCCCCACCCTGAACTATTCTCAAATTTACCAACCCTCCCCACTTGATCATCAATCCCACTGATCCACCCCAGGTACGGACTCGACGACGGCAACGGTTCCCCCAACTGCAACACCGCCACCGTTTCCTGCGGCTTCTTCAACACCCCCGGGTACAACGCGGCCGTGTCCCAGAACCTGTTCGGTGCGGCGTCGGGCAAGACCGACACGTGCGGTACCTGCTGGCAACTCGACCCGGTGTCGAACCCCAATGCCGCGAACACCGCCGCGGCGGTGGGTGGCCTGAGTACAATCGTGGTCATGGTGAACAATCTTTGCCCGGCGTCGAGTAACGAAAAGGATGTAAGCGACCCCATCAGATCGTCTTTCAGTAGAGGAACGGACGTACTAACAACGACCCTCCCAAACCCCAGTGCGGTCAAGCAACCCTTCAAGACACCAACTTCGCAGGTAGGCCACCCTCATCACCCCCAACTCCCCCACCCACCCCTTCCCTTTTTCCCCCCCGGCTCTCCACTTTGCCGCCAAAAGAGCTGACGCGCCCCGCCCAGGCGCCAACGTGAACTTCGACCTCTGCAAAGACGACGGGGCCGCCAACGCCCTCTTCGGTGGCTCGGGCATCGGCATGGCGTTCGGCAAGGCCACGCAGGTCGGCTGCGATTTGTGGACCGGGAGCCAGAACTACACCACCGGCACCATGCCCAGCATGCCCCTCGAGACGTCTTGAGTGCGGCTGGCCGTTGATGCGTCGGTGGGGGAGGAATCGATGGTGGTGGTGCGTGGATGGCAGGGGTTGCATTCGACATTCGATGCATATACATATTCCCTTCTTCTTCTTCTTTTTTTCTTCTTGATGAACTAGTATAGTATCCTCGCGGCTCGTATTCTGCCACCAAGGAGGGTGGGGTGGGGTGGGGCGGGGTGGGGATGTCGGCTCTTTGCAAGAGCGTCCACTCCTTCTTCTTCTTCTTCTTCTTCTTCAACACCAACACACGACTTTTGCCAACAGCCTGGATCCATATGATCGTCCGGCTCAGTGTACATATTACCTTCTTCATCCTCTTCATCCTCTTCTTCTTCTCCTCTTCCTCTTCTTCTCTTCCTCTTCCTCCTCCTCCTCTTCCTCTTCCTCTTCCTCTTCCTCCCCTTCCTCCTCTTCTTCCTCTTCCTCTTCACCGCCGAAAATCAACAAAAACAAAGAATCAAAGAAGACAGAAAGTTGAAAATCGCCCGCTCCGTAGCTGTAAGCCTTAATGACATGCATTCATTCATTCATTCATTCACAGAGTGCAAAACTTCCACCATCAATCTTGCCGCTGGGTCAGGTCATGCGGCAGCGATGAGGTGCATATCTCGTACTTGGCTTGCGAGAATGGACATTGCGCTTGTGTGCAAGGGTTCTGGTGTCGCTGCGGAAGCATGGGGAATGGGGTATTTCTTCATTGGTGTTGCAACATATTTCACGGATCTATAATGGCGACTTGAAAATTTTGGAAAATCCCGTACTCGCCGCGCTTCGATGCAGCGTGAGGGGTCGAGTGATGAGCCAGGGCCTAACGGCGCGCGATGAGGAGGGGAGGGGGACTTTTGACCAGCGGGAAGGAACGCTGGCGTTGACAACTCGATGTGGATTCAAAGATTGCTAATATATATAAAAATATTCCATAAGCACCCGATCAAATATCTACAGCATCCCCGTCTTGCACGGCCTTCACCCTCCCAGGCCGAGGGAAAGATCCCGGGATCTCGCCGTTGATCTCATGTTCCGACAGGCCAAACCTCTTGTACATGCTGATGCCCCAGTCGAGAACCTTCTGGTCTTCGTCACCGAGTCGAAATTTCTCATTGGCGGCCCCATCTACGGAGCCTGGATCTCCTTGGTGGTTAAGGGTTGCCGTCTTTGCCTCTTGCGTCTTTATCAATTCTTCCTTCCTGGCCACGTGTAGAGCCCGTTTGATCTCCAAGGCTGGTCGCAGGATACTGCGGAGCATGTAGAGCGCTGGAGTCACCACTCTTTCGCGACCTCCACGAGATGAGCGCGATTGCTGCTTTTGCTTCCGGATGTTGGGCGCACGACACCATTGCTCCCACAGCCTCTTACCTGCAAGGCTTCCGTAGCGATCCACGATGGCCTCTAGAATGATGTTGAAAGCATAAGGCGTAACATCAGCACTAGCATGCGCTCGAGAATCTTCTCCGGCAGGTCTGGTGGTAATCCTGCTCAAGCTCCCAGGTAGTGTTTGAAGTATCCGACCAAGCTGGTTGGCCATCCTCATTTGAGAGAAGTCGGGTAATAGCTGCGAAGGGTCAGCCTTGGAATTGTATTTGCCATTGACCAAATTCTGTACAAGGGCGAGCGCTCTTGGAACTGAGGCAGTGTTGGCATTGTCTGACTGCTCGTGCTCCAACTGCAAGATGGTTTTTGCAATCGTGGTAGCATCGCTAGGCTTCCATGCCATGTCTGGTGTGTTTTTGAGGTACTCTAGCAATTCTTCGACAGCTGACCATCTTCCTAAGACAACCTGGTAACGCAAGAGGGCATGAACAACCGGCTCCGAGAATGGTGTCTCCAGTTCTACGAGGATCTTTGTGAGTAGACGAGAATCTGATGTTGCTGTTCCAAATCGGAGGAGCGCTGGCTGTAAGTTCTGATCGGAATAGAGGGCCGGATCCATAAGACCTCCGTCGATGTCTTCATTCAAAAGGAGCCAATTCCCTAGATCGAACAACCTACTTTTTGTGATGAGGTCTATGAAGGAAGCCAGAATGCTCGACGGGATTGGGGGAGGTTGAATAAGTGCTACATAGTTCTCTGTGTCTCCAAAGAGGTCTGAAACATCATCGCCTCTTCCAAGTCGTTCCCTCAACTCGTCCGCAAAGGTGAGAATTCTCTCTTCACGCTGTGTATCAATAGTGCTTTGGATCTTCCTGAATGTCTGAAGGCTTCCTCGAAGATTTCCATCAATCGAGAAACGGTGAAGGTTTCTGTGACGTAAGCCTAGAGCAGCCGCAGAATAGTCTATCTCCTGGTCCTGAGCCGAGCTTTTCGTGCCAGAACTGCGAGTCACCTGCTTGGGCTGGGTGACCCGCAAGTCCAGAAACCTGTTGAGCATTCCGGGCTGCTCTTTGACATTCCCAAAGGATTCAAAGACCCGTAGGATGGTAGCGTCCATGAAGTTGCTCTCAAGCTCCGGATGATTATGGTCCAGCAAGCTTTTACATGCGATTATACTCCGTCGAAGCTCGACAACGGTCATAACAAGGCCTCCGGCAGTAGACTGGGGGCCGTTGAGCAAGCCATCTATGAGAGCTAATATAACTTCTCGACTGACTGTGCGGGCACCCATCTCAACATGTGAGTTCGTGCCGGTCGCTATTCCAATACCGCCTACCTGATTCAAACGTGTTTTGTCGATCTCTAACCTCAAGATGGACGTCCAGTCAAGCTTCGGTGCTTTCATCTCGCAGATCTCCGGCCAGCTGATAGTGGACCACCGTGCATCCTTGGATGTTGTTCGTCTTTCCATTTCGATGACTATCCAAGCTCCTTCACTGACCCAACCACCTTCGACGCAGGCCCATAGGACGAGGTCTAGCCACAACTCGGGCCCAAATTCGCGGATTTTTGGCTGCACGCTAACCTTGGGTAGTTCATATCCTTGAGACATAGCCTTTGCGATCGTCTCTTCCCATTGGAGTCCCCATTCAACATCCGACAATGTGCTCATGATACGCCTTGACAGCAGATGTAAAGTTGGCGGGCGTTGGAGGACAGTCGGATCTGTTGGGGGAGCATAATTGTAAATCGAATCAGGTAATGCATTAATGCGATGTAAATGTCCTAGAATCTGAAAGACGTGAGACATAATAACGCTGTAACTAGAATCCTCCGCTGGACGATCTGCTGCCTGTAGGATCATTGTACCCAGGCTCTGCCATATTTGTCCAAGGCTCTTACGCCTTAGAATGTGAGGGTCATCCCACCGATCTGACATATATGGCCAAGGATATTGATCAAGAGACAAGCGGCCATACCAGCCGTTGCGCCCCCCTGACACATCTGAGGGCTGAGGCATTTCAACTTGTATTGCGTTGCCTGTGACCTCATCCAGACTTTGCTCAGCGGTCCGCCACAGCAGTGGTGGCAGCTGGCTCGAGCTCCTCTCCATCTCTATATGACCCGGGTATTTTCCCATCATAGCCTTGACCAGCCAAATCACTACTTCCCATCGCTCCTGATATACACCAATATAGCTTAAAAGATCCGCTTTGCAGTACGATCTTGCCATGGACAGAACCTCTGGCAAAGTGTGAATTGGTCGTAGGACTTCATGTTGGATCACTTCCTCAGCAGTATTCTCGGGCCCCTGATGTAGGTTCTGAGGAAGGTACGATTCAATAGCGGTGGCCCATGCTGCGGGTTTTATTCGGCGTGGGGAAGAGACGAGACCCTCTACCTCAAGCGGCAGGCCACGCTTGCTATTGGCGTGACTATCAATGCTGTTCTCGGTCGAGTATTGAGATGCGGTAACCGATGCGTGTCTTCGGGAGCCAAGATACTTCAGCCTTTGGGTCCCCTTGGGATTCCTACGTTCCTGCACGATTGCTGGGGCCAGAAAGGCCGGTATAGTTGCAGCTGTTATGCTAGTACTAGGATGGCTGAATGCTTGCACAAAGCCTCTTAGTGCAGGAGAGGCTCTTGCCATTGGTGGCGATACTCGAGCCCCAGAGAAGTCTCTGGACGTTGGCTAGAATCGCCATGATCCTACAATCAGCCTGTTTTTAACGAGGTTGCTGTAGCCATTGTCATCCCAGCCCGCTCGATAAAGAACAGAGTAGAAGGGAAGAGGGACCTCACAAAGAGAAATCAATGGGTGTAGTCTGGTGGAAGTTATGCGTGTATCGAACTTTCTATTTCGTAAGGCTGAAACTCTAGCGTTGTCTTGGCGCTTCTGGTCTCAGATCCAAGAAAATCAATGTCAACACCACTGTATCTTTTCGTCAAAGAATTCCGATGGTAAAACTCATTGACTCAGACACACGGTACCCAACCTGTGGCTTAAAATCAGGAAAGCTAACTAAATCCCTTGGTGAGTTCTTTACCTTCATAACAGGTTTGACTTAGGAACAAGCCACAGAATCGCTCTCTATGAAGTCAACATACTGAGAGGCCATAACTCCCACCAATATGTCCGGGGCGTATCGCATCGGTATGTAGTATTCTCGATTGCTCGCCCTTTTGTATTTTTCCTTGGATTCCTGACACCTGCCTGTTGCCATACCGAGTGCTTTCCTAAACCACCTTCGTGTTACGGTGCTGCTTCGCTCTTCTTAGTCAATTCTTCGGCTTTGCTGTGAGCTGAGACAGATTTTTACAGAGGTCTCGCCGAACAATCGCGCTGGATGCAAGAATACTGAGTGCAAGAAAGAGGGTATCAAAATCCAAAAGGGCCAGCTGCGTTTTGGCACGTTCATCACTACTCCGGACTGGCAAAGCTGGGCTTGGAAACACTGGTAGGTATCTCTTAATCTTCGCCATCACTCTTGTTGATCTCATTCGCCTGCAGGGGTTGCGTGACCCCCAGAGTAATCTCCAACCTCAAAGAGGGCATTGAAGGAGACCCGAGCCAGCTCGATGGCTACGATGAACTTCCGGAGGATTTCCAAGAAAAAGTCGTAAAGGCTTTAGAACAGGGCCATATCGATGATGAAGACTGGGGCTGGGTAGTAGTGTCTACCAATAGTCTAGATACATCTTACTGACTGCGTCTAGGACATTGAAATGAACCGCGAAGGAAAGAATGGATACTTTACGCTTGAGAGTAAGCGACGGTTGAAGGCAGAAGCTCAAGTAAGTACCTCTACCGGTCCAATTACCGCCCTGGCTGTCTTAATGTCCTCTTCATCTAACTATCCGAAGGCCTTGAAAGAGGAGAATGCCGGAGAAGAAAGTGCGAGCCCCAGCACGACTCATGACAAGAAGCGCGGCCATGTCAACCATGACCCGGATGCGGAAGGCTCAGCAGAGGCTGAGCCGCCGGCGAAAAAGACCAAGGCTAGGACCAAGAAAGAACCGAAAATCAAGAACGAGGATGCTGACGGCGGGTCTGAGAATGAAGGTTCGACAACTAAGAAAACCAAACCTAGGATCAAGAAAGAACCGAAAATCAAGAACGAGGATGCTGACGGCGGGTCTGAGAATGAAGGTTCGACAACTAAGAAAACCAAACCTAGGATCAAGAAAGAACCGAAAATCAAGAACGAGGATGCTGACGGCGGGTCTGAGAATGAAGGTTCGACAACTAAGAAAACCAAACCTAGGATCAAGAAAGAACCGAAAATCAAGAACGAGGATGCTGACGGCGGGTCTGAGAATGAAGGTTCGACAACTAAGAAAACCAAACCTAGGATCAAGAAAGAACCGAAGACCAAGAACGAGGATGCTGAGACCAGATCTGAGAAAGAAGGGCCGGCGGATAAGAAGACTAAAGCTGCCGTCAAGAAGGGCAAAAACGCTAACGATGACAAGGCCGATGGAGACTTCAAGCTAGATGACCAGTCAGTCAAGAAGGGTGGCAAACAAGCCAAGAAGGCCACAGCTGGAGACGAGGCCGCTTTGCACATCAAGAACGAGAATAGCGATCATGATACTCTTCCTCCTCACATAGCGAAGAAGACACGAGCTCCACGCAAAGCCGCAACAGCTCAGAAGATCAAGGACGAGGACACCGAGACTGATGATCTTGATCCAGCTTCTGAGCTTGAGACCCCTCTTGGTAACGTCAAGCTAGAGCACACACCAGAGCTCGAAGTTGAAGCAAACGAAGACGCCCCAAAGCTTCAGAAAGGCCGCAAGAAAGCACCCAAGAAGGCAGTCCATGGATCGAGAGAGGAGACTAACAAAGAAGTCAAAGCCAAGGTCGGAATGCTAGCCGTCTTATTGATTGGTGGACAAGCTGACGATGTACACAGGCAACGCCGGCTGCCCCCCGATCCAATGGAAGAGTGACTCGCTCGCGCCCAGCCTGACTGCAATGTGCTGGTAGATGTCGGGATCATCTAAACTTTGACTGTTTGAGGGGCGTTGAAGGTGTGGGATAGATCTCGGAGCATTGCGAAGCTACACGATACTACATTCTGATCTGAGCTTTCATCCACGAGCTCTAGAAGCCCGATTGTGGCATATTTTGCCGCATTCATAGAGCGTTAGATACCCATTTTTCCTGTGTTATTATTCTTTCTTGTGAGCGTGAGAGCTAAAGAGTGTTGCTAAGCCTACAACAAAACAGTTACCTAAACATGTTAAGACCCAGTGCGCTTTGCTAGAAAATTGTAGACTGTTCGTGACATTTAATCTTGCCTGGCTCATGCTACCAGGAGACACTCCGTCCTGGATGATTTCATAATTCTCGGAGAAATCAGGCAAGCTGCCAGCAAAAGTTGCAGTACCCCTGAAGGGCAATCATTGATTCCAAGAGGCCTATCTCCTGCGTATTGATTTGTGAATGGAAGACGCCAGACCAAACCGCATCTTGGGTTCATTTCGTCCACAGTCTTGCTCTCCCCTTTGAACCTTTGACCATCCACCCCCTACTGCTGTTCGGAGACCTATCGTTTACATGTTGACAGGGGAAAGCAGTAAAAGAAAGCCAGACTTAGACAGTGAAAATTAGCTGTGTGATAAAGAGTGAAGATCCCTGGAAAGTCAGCAAGTGGAGGAAACACCCAGAGACATGGAAGTATAGCCATAGAGTAGAAAATGAAGGGGAACAGCTAGCATGAAAGTGATTTCGACCGACATTCCGATCCACACTGACATCCACTGTCCTCTTCAACTTCTTCATATACAAATGTTCATCCTCAACCACCGACCGACATTCCGATCGACATTGTCGTCTACTGTTCTCTTCAACTCTTCCACATACAAATATTCATCCTCAACCACCGACTTCGATTCATAATTTCCGTCTATCATCCTCTTCAACTTCTACACAGATAACTATTTATCCTCGACCACTGATTTCGATTTACAATTCGACTGACATTGTCGTCCACCGTTTATCCTCAACCTGCAAGCCATTATCTTCACGTCACTAACCTTTTCGACTGATAGTCGTCCAATGTTTTTCTTCAACTAGCAAGCCATCATCTTCACGTCACTAACCTTTTCGACTGATAGTCGTCCACCGTTTTTCTTCAACTAGCAAGCCATCATCTTCACGTCACTAACCTTTTCGACTGATAGTCGTCTCAATGTTTTTCTTCAACTAGCAAGCCATCATCTTCACGTCACTAACCTTTTCGACTGATAAGTCGTCTAATGTTTTTCTTCAACTAGCAAGCCATCATCTTCACGTCACTAACCTTTTCGACTGATAAAGTCCCTTTTTCCTAACTTCCTTAACCAGCAAGCCATCATCTTCACGTCACTAAACTTATCGACTGATAAAGTCGTCCACCATTTTCCCTTAACCAGCAAGCCGTTATCCTCACGTCACTAACCTTTTCGACTGATGTATTCCTCGGGGAGTTGGACGTCAATTGCGCGGTCTTGACTGGGTGCCGCCCTGCAAAAATCTGCTTGCTTTTTAGGAAGCTGTACATCAGCTGCAAGCTATCTGCGGGGTTCCCCCAAACAAGCCTGCAATATGTAAGCATCCTAGACCATACCCAGCTAAAGTCATGCTGCTCGTACTGACCCAAAGGTATTCCAGCTCCTCTCATCATGGCAAACAGGACGATTATTCGAGCAGCAAAGCTCCAACCTTCCAGACTTCCGCAAGTCCCTCTTACTTCGGTGTGCGAAGATTTTGTCGACGGGTTTTGCCGCCGCGGATATGAATGCACCAAGAGCCACGACATTTGTGCAGCCCCTAATGAGAACTCTGGATCTTCTTTCCTAGACTGCCCTCCGAACCTACTTTCCCTTGACCCCAGGTTTTCGCCGCGAGAGAGCCTGCCATTTGACCAGGATGGTCCAGGTCAATTGTCACGATACGGCGCGAGGCACAACAACGATCATGTAAATATCCAACATATCAAGATCTTACCAACTACAGATGAGATATTGTGTCGGCGAAAAACCTATATTCCCGCCAAAGATCCATCGGCTGAGCATCATCTTCCTTGTGGGCAGCAGAGGCTCTTGGATGTTCAGTTTCGCCAATTAAGATTCGACAATGTTGAACCGATCATAGATTCTTGCTACCACGCAAGCCAACAGTTGACGCAATTGATATCTTCGCCTCATATCTTGGATTACGATGACCGTATGAATACTCCAAAGGGAGTGCGCTATTCACTCTTCCGCGACATCGTATTCGAGGAGCAAATTATGAGCTTCAAGGTTGGTGTCACTTTCAGGATCAGCTTTGCATGCCCCAAGGCATTGCGCGGTCTACGCTTAGGCCCATCGAAGCATCTCGAGGAAGGAATGCTCGTCGCACTAGTTGGGCTTGATGATGCGGAAACTTTGTCTACGACATTCATGGTAATTGAACAGCGCCAAACCACGTTCGCCATGAAGCCGCGTACTGGTAATGATCTTAGAGGTCAGTCCTTAATGCCCTGCGTTGAAGGTTTTTTTGCGGCTAATCGCTGACCATACCCATCTTTCCAGCTTCCGTGGTTCTATCACTTGCCGACACGAGCGATACTGATGCGGTGAGACGCTTGCTTTACAGTTCAAAGGGCATTAGACAAGAAAGATCTGTCCTTGTTGAATTACCAAACGTCTTGTATGTTGGATTTTACTGGACACTTAGAGATTTGCAAAACAAGTCAGCAAGCAATAAGGACTTGGCTTTCATTACATCTATAGCTCCTTCCACTGCAGGCCCGAGCCCGGAAATCTTGGTCCCCGAATATGCAACCGTGGACGACTTCGCTTTTCAGCTAAACAGCCTTCGCAAAAAGGGCGATGTCTATGCGAACCCTCTTACGCTAAGACCAAGGGACTTGGTGTCGGATAATGAAGCCAAGACCATCGCCATTGATCACCTGTGCCAGGAGACCACACTCGATCGTGGCCAGGCTACTGCTCTTTGCGAGAATCTTTGCCGAGGCTTTGCCTTTACACAGGGCCCGCCTGGGACAGGCAAAACGTATGTATTCTCTGGGCTACCGCCTCTTTTCTCATCCGCTGACTTCACGTAGTTTTCTTGGTGTTGCCTTAACCAAGGTGCTCCTGGAATCGCGCAGCCACGTTTCGCGGAGACCAATATTAGTAGTGTGCACGACCAACCACGCTCTTGATAGCTTTTTGAACGACATTCGACAAGCAGGGGTGACAAAACTCGTCCGACTAGGCGGTAACAGTAAGGAGAGTTGGACCAAGGCATTCAGCTTACGAGCAGCAGCACGTCAACTCAAGAAGACCACGCTTGAGAGAAGCAGAGAGAGCCAGGCCCATCGTCAGGTCGAAGGTCTGTTTCCACTCCCTTTCTGGTATATTCAGGCAACTAATTTCGTCAATCGTAGGCTTAACAACTGAGGGTACAAGTTGGTGCGAGTCCCTCAACACAGACGTACTGAGCTGGCCAGCGGTTCGAGAGCTTCTTAAATCAAAATATCCGGCAATCTTAGAACGCTTCACTGGGCTCGAGAGAGTCGACTCGTCTCGGCTTGCAGATATTCGATTGGCTCGCAAAGCTGGCGGTTTCGCCTTTGAGTTTTGGGGCAAAGGAGGCGACATCAACGATCTCGATCGACTCCTAGACAAGTTCAGCAGTATGCTCGGCAATCAATACGAATTTCAAGATGACGCAGATGATGGCGATCTCCGAACAAAACACAGAGTGCTTGACAATGTAGCACTAAATGCGGCAAATACAGCGGCTTCGGATCCTTCGTCTGGCTGTAACGTTTGGAAATTGAGCCTTAAAGAGCGACAGCGTCTTCTCAACAAATGGAAAGAAGAGATTGATCCTCAGACCATACTTGACCGAACAGCTGAAATTCATCGTCGCCATCAAGTCGCTGTCTCGAAACGGTATGAAGTGCATCATGATACTGATGCTCGGTGTCTTCGAGATCGTAAGCAAATTCCGCAAAAACTGCATGACTTTCTGGCTGATTAGCTACATCAGAGGACGTTGTCGCGATGACTATGACAGCCTGCGCTATGAATTCTTCCATGCTGAACCAATTGAACCTTCAGACCGTCATTTGCGAAGAAGCAGCAGAGGTAATGGAGGCACAGACACTGTGCACTCTTTTTCCTTCCGTAAAACACGCTATCTTCATAGGTGATCCATTGCAGCTCAGGTACGTTGCAGGAATTAGGGTGAATAAGCATACTACGGACTCGATTAACTTCGTACAGACCCCAGGTGAATGAGCCAGCTCTTTCTTTAGAGACGACAATAGGGGCCTCTTACCGTTTAGATGAATCCTTGATGGAGCGTATGATGGTACCATCAACGCCCGGAGTACGGCCCATTGCCTCATCTCGTCTGGACTTGCAGCGGCGCATGCACCCGGATATCGCCGATCTAATGCGTGCGACACTATATCCATTTTTGCAGGTATGTGGATCGCTGCAGCTTTGGTAAAGGTTGGTAGAAGTATCTGACCACGTCCTTCGCAGGACCATGAGGTAGCGCGCTCTCGTGAGCCAGTTGCCGGCATGTTGGACCGGGTATGGTGGCTCGATCACGGAATGCCAGAAGACACTCCAGACCCCGGATCGTCGATGGCCAAATCATTTTCCAATGCTTTCGAGGTTGAGATGGTAGTCGGACTGGTTGAATATTTGATCAACAGTAATGAATATGACTATCAGGATATCACCATACTGACCCCCTACAACGGACAGCTTGCTGCTTTTACCCACCGCCTTAACGGAACGTGTTCTCTGTGGCTAAGTGAGAAAGATCGGGAGAGCCTGTTACTGGAAGGACTATTGGAGCCAGAAGAAGCTTCTTTTGGGGCGAAAGCGGATATAAACGTCGCGAGTATGTTGAGACTGGCTACAATTGACAATTTTCAGGGGGAAGAGTCCAAAATCGTCATCCTCAGCACAGTGAGGAGCAACTTCGAGAGCCGTGTTGGGTTTCTCAAAACCCCGAATCGTATCAACGTTGGCTGCAGCCGTGCCAAGAATGGCTTCTACATCGTCGGTAATGCGACACTGATGAGTGCCGTACCAATGTGGAATCATATTTCTAAGGATCTGTCTGCCAAGCGAAGAATTGGACCGGCTTTCCGTGCATGCTGTTCAAGACATCCAGGCAAAGTTTACCAAGTCCGGAGCCCGGAACAGTGGTATGATATCCCGGAATGTGAGGTTCCTTGTGGGTCGAAACTTCCTTGTGGACACCCTTGTACCTTGAAATGTCATGCGCCAGCTCTCCATGATCGGATCAGCTGTGCTCAACCTTGCCCAAGGCACCATGAAGCTTGCGGTCACCGGTGTACAAAAAAGTGCGGCGAGCCTTGTGAAGACTGCGGGTCCGAGCTCTCCTCTGTTACGTTACTGTGCGGGCACATGGCTGTACAGACTTGCGGAGGAACTCAAGAAGATGACAAGATCATCTGCAAAACCCTTTTGGAGCCCATCCGGTTGGATTGTGGACATATACAACAGCCGGTATGCTCGACCAAGGATCAGCCCATGAAATGTAACGAGATGTGCAATCAACCATTAGAGTGTGGACACCACTGCCGAGCCATTTGCCATACATGTACTGTCAACAAATCACATCCGCCGTGTAGCTCACCCTGCGGCAAAGAACTCAAATGTGGTCACCGTTGTGCTGAGAATTGTCATATCGGCGGCAATTGCCCTTCCTGTCAGCTCCCTTGCAAAAGATCTTGTGGCCATGGTAGCTGTTCACGACCATGCAGCCACATATGTGACCCATGTGTCAGACCATGTGACTGGCCGGCTGATTGTCCTCACAAAAGCTCATGTTCCACGATGTGCTGCCTGCCTTGCAATCGTCTCCCTTGCAATGAGCCCTGCACCAAGGTTTATCTACCATGTCGGCATCTATGTCCAAGCCTTTGTGGCGAGATGTGTCCGGCAGGATGTCCTGTATGCAGATACCATGATCTTTCCCAGAAGACATATATTTTCCTTCCTTGCGGTCATCATTTCGAAGTAGAGTTTTTGGACAGACACCTTGGCCTTACTAACATCTATCGCCTCGATACCTCTGGAAATATTGAGAAGGTTGATTGTGATACCAAAGGTCAAGTGACGAACATGGTTTCGGCCTGTCCGACTTGCGGGAAAGGCTGCAAGAAAGTCCGACGGTATGCTCTTCATCATCAGCTACTAGCTTTCAAAGGGAATATCGACCGGATGCACACCAAGCTTAGTAGGAAGATGAATATGTTCATGGAACAACTGTACGACGGGAAGATAAAATTGGACAAGACCTTCAATGACTTTCGTGAAAGACTGAGGCCGGGACCCCTGGCAGGTAGAAGCAACGCCGACCTGGTACGCTACCGCGGGAACACATTAGAGGAAACTCAAAGCAGCATCAGAGACTTCAAAGACCAAGTCGTGCAGCTCTTCGAAGACGACATAGCTAAGCTTGCAGTCTTTCTAGGCATCTCTCCTGTGTCTGTTGACGATCTCCCGGATATCAACCTTTGCTATCGACTCCGTTTCGAGGCGCTATTCTTCAGAAGTAGACTGATCATAGTCGAAGAAAGCCTTAGGATGCTAGGCGCCCTACGAAGTCTGGGTGATGATTCAGAGCACACTACCGTCCTGATCCAAGGTTTAGAAGCGTTGACTAGAGACGAGGCCAACATCAACATCAAAGCTTTGAACACCATCATCACAGAATGCGAAACCAAGAACTTGAAACGCCTTGAAGCCGAGACCCGTTTGATACAGATGTGTTTCCACATCCTACTTAAAGACCTTGGGGCAGCTAGTAATTTGAAGGTGGAAGACTCTTTGCGTCGGACGCTCAGCCTTTGCCGGACCTACCCAGATACTGCAGGAGTGCTCCTTGTGACCTATAATGCAATCAAGCTGGTGCTCAGTGGTGAGCGACGTCAGGGGAATCTGTACACTCGGGGGTCAACGCGCATATGGTGGAGTTGGCCAGTGCATAAGGTTGGGAACTTGAAAGAGTGCGTCCATGGCCATCAGTACTCGGCATCGACCTGGCCTGATTGCCCCGAGTGCGGAAGAGAAGTACCACCCAGTCCAAAGCCTGAGCCCGTGAACCCTAAGAAATTCCTGGACGAGGACGCTTTCGTGGTAGCAATGCGGACACAGACCTTTAGTGCTGCATCATATCGAACATGATGAGGATCTTAGCAAAGAGGGAAAGGGTACACGGAGCATCAGACGACGCAGATACAGCGGAGATAGATAGGAAATTGAACGTATCGTTTGGATTGAGATCGGGTGCGCAAATAGAATAGGGTGAATGTCATCGCTTAGATTAGTATCAATCGTACTCTACATTAGTTCTAATTGATGATCATCTTGCTTTTCGGAATAAAAGCAAGCAATCAATCAATCAAAAGACAGGATGCAAAGCTCGATAACAGTTCCCTAATGATGCTCTACATTGGTGACTACTCCATGCAGAAAAGCGAGCCGTGATCAGCGAATCTTGATCTTTGTATGAGAAGTCTCGCCATGGCAACGTTATCGAGAAGACTAGGCTAAGAATAGTTAGCACGGGCGGGGCGAGAAAGGAAGTGGACTGCATTATACGGTATAGTACTCGTGGATTCCAGAAATGAGTTACTTTATTAAGGGGGGGACCCCAAAAAATCAAGCGACATGCCGCTGAGTGGAAATATCTATTAGTGTCCTCGCTCTATCAAGTAACTCACTTATCGAATCCAGATTTTTTGCGTCAAGCTGCATTCGGGCTCACAGCTCGGCAGGGGTGAAAAAAAGTTCGGTAGGGGTGAGTAGATGCTAAGTATATGCACCTCGTCCGAGGTGAAACGAATACACTCAGCATATGCCAGCACCTCATCGGGGGTAAAGAAAATTAAATTCAGTTTAGCGACGTTAGCCCGCGCGGGGTAACTCACCTATAAATTTAAAATTTTCTCTTTTATCTATCGTAAAATTTTATTCTTACTTATATCTAGTATATATTATAATATCTAATATATCTACTTAATAAGTCTATAACGCTATTATAGCGAAAATTATTTAATAATTAAATAATATTAAAATACTTATATCTTATATATATATTATATCTATATTATATATATAATATATTAGTATATTAGTATATATAATAGAATAAGGTAGGGCTAAGCTTGGAAACCTTGAATTTGTATGTGCAGCCAATCATAAATTCGGGTCCTATACGCTTTTTGATTAGACCGGCTGAGTCAGCCCGATAGCCCTCCCGCGCCTCCCTCATCAAAAATTTGTATGTAGAAGTTTTACACTTCGAAGTACTCAGCTTGCGATACATATAGTTACTTCATAATTCCTCAAATTATAAAGCTCGCTTTACGCTTTCTAACGCTGTAAAAATTATAAAGTTTAACCTACTATTAATAGATTAAATGGATATTCAAATATTATAGTAGTCACATCAGACGCGTCCGAGATCGGATAATAATCCTTCCATCTGTTTGTGTAACTATTCTTCTTTCACCATTCTATCAATTCTACCAATTCTATTAATATGAACACAATCGTCTTCGGTACCCCTCGCCTAAAGGTTACTCAACGTTTTAAACACGTACACCCCTTTTGCCCGCCTCTTAGAGCCCCTACTAACGCCCCCAGACCACCCCTCCGCGAATCCGCTACTATTGGCAATCGAGGCCGCAGCCTAACAGCTACTTACTACTACTCATAAACGCGTTAAAAGGCCCTCAAAAAGAGCCCGAACGGATTCACAGCCATCGTCCTTCCCTATATACTCCTCCCAAGCCAGCGGTAATGCCTTTCAACCCAGCGATGCTACCTTCCAAGACGCGTTTTCCTCTCCTACTCTATTTTAAAGCCTCTTAACGCGTGTTAAATCCTAAACATCGTTAAGAAGAAGCTTCTAAAAATATGATAATTACACTAGACGCGTTCGGGATTGAATAATAATCCTTCCACCTATTTATATAATTATTCTTCTTCCACCATTCTACTAATTCTATCAATTCTACTAATTTCAATATAAATATATTTACCCTCGGTACCCTCGCACTCAGTTAAACAAGAGGAGGATCTACAACAGGCGAAGGCGAAGAATACTGCGGAGAATATTGCGGAGATAGTCATCAGCAGCAGTGACACAACAGGCCTACTCTCCACGGTCTCACACCAGCCCGATACTCAGTAAGAGGAGGAACCACTACAGCAGGTAAATGCGGAGAATATTACGGAGATAGTCATCAGCAGCAGTGACACAACAGGCCTACTCTCCACGGTCTCACACCAATCCACTCAGCCAGTGCAAGAGAAGTCAATACAGCAGGCGAATGCGGAGAACACTACGGAGAAACCAAGCGGCAACAAGGCCCCCAGCACCAAGAACACGGCTCAGCTCTCCAAGATCCCACATCATATGCTCTCCACGGTTCCACATCAAATCATCACTCAGCAAGCGGAGAACACCACTGCAACTTAGCCTATCATCCCCACTACATTAAGAAATAAGAGGAGGAACTACAACAGGCAAATGCGGAGAACACTGCGGAGAAACCAAGCGGTAACAAGGCCACCATCGTCAAGAACGCGGCTCAGCTCTCCAAGATCCCACGTCATATCAGTCATCCACTCAGTCAGCCACTCAGCTAGCCACTCAGTCTAATACTCTACAAGAGAAGGAGCAAGAGAAGGAACTACAACAGGCAAATGCGGAGAACACTGCGGAGAAACCAAGCGGCAACAAGGCTCCCAGCACCAAGAACACGGCTCAGCTCTCCAAGATCCCACGTCATATGCTCTCCAATGCATATTTGAACGAATTAAAACCATCCGATATCTACAGCTATTTCATTATTCGAAAAATTTCACTGCGGCAGGAGATATTGTGAGATTCACACCACTAATTAGCACGTTGTCTCCATTTCTTTCCGATATTTCGATACTTCTTACCATAAGAACATGGCCTTTCTCTATTTTTTGTGGGCAATTATTACGGATCAATCCTCCACACTCAATACACCTTCCTAATCAGGCCTTAGCGCGCCTCTCTCCGTATATATATACCTATATATTACATAGATCAAATTAATTTTATAGTAGTGGAAGTAGGTCAAAAAACGCACAGCAAGCGATTAGAGTTCGATTTGACTTAGGGCTAGGGCTAAAATTCCATTTGACTTAGAAAAATCCAACTCCATTTGACTTAGAAAAATGAAAAATCCAACTCCATGAATTTAATTCATAGGCCTTTACTTATATACTAATAAATAACTTAGCTTTATTTATTAGATTCTTCTAATAAAAGCGATAATAAATAAGATAACTTAGAAGTAAAGGGCTTAAAGTTTATTATTTCTCTCTTTATAGATTTAACTTCTATAATAAGACCTATATCGTATTAATACTTATATATATTAATTATATATAAAATATAATTAAGAAGATAAGTATTATTATTAATTAAAGTAGTTAGCGTAAAGTAGTAACTAATAAGATTTAAGATTATATTATTCTATTTAAATATTTCAAGATAAGTATAAATAAAATTCTTTATTTTATATATACTAGATCGAAGTTCGATAGAGAAAATTATAAGAGTATTTAAGAGATAATTTATTAATATATATTTATAATAAGCTCTATATATATTTAGTTTAAATATATCTTAACTAATTAAGACTAGATATAATTTAGTCATTTAGAGATTAATATAATTTACCCTCGAATAAAGTCTATTAAGATATAATTTTTAGCTAAAAATAATAAAAAGAATAAGAGAAAAGCGATATAAAAGTAAGCGTTCAAATATAGTAGAATTAAATATTATTAATATATTTATCGAAATATAATTATCTTATACTAAGCGTATAATCGAGTTAATATTATAAATATTAATAATCTTTAATAAAGATTTAATTCTTTACTTTACTCTTATTTAGTTAAGAAATATTTTAAAATGAAAATTAAGTATTAGTATAATACGTTTTTTATAGATTAATAGATATAAGACGTATATCGTAGAAGTTTATAATCGAATATTACGATATATTAAAATTAATTATCTATAATATTTAAGCGAAATAATATAAGTATATATAGAGTAAATATTAAGTATATACTTATAATCTATAGATTATCTTCGTTAGTTATTTATAGAATAATAACTTAAAATTATAATATCGAATAAGATATCTATTATCTACGGCTATATATATAAATCTTAATTATTTATAAAAACTTATTTAATTTAAATTATAAACTCTATAAGAGAATTATACTTATATAGATTATTTAATATAACGATATAAATAGTATAATAAGTAAATATCTTATTATTCTAATTCTCTACTTAGTATATACTAAGTTTATATAATATTTAATTATCTCTAAAAATAAGATAAGATAGAGTTACTTAGCTATAATATATAATTTAATCTCTATATTTTAAATAATTAAGATCGCTTTTCATTTTTCATATTAGTCTTACGCGGAGTATATTCTTATTATTCGCTATATTTAATTAAGCTCTCTAGCGCTATTATAGATAATATTATCGAGGTTATTAAGAAGTATAATTTACTAAATCTAACTATGTATAAATTAAATATATATTAAGTAAGCGCTATATATATACTAATTATTCTTAAAGCGCTTTATTATTTCTCTATTTCTCGCGAGTCTTAAAGAGAAATATAATAAAGATTCGTTATAAGCGATTTATTAAAGTCTAAATATCGAAGATCGAGTTTCTACTTTAATTCGAAAGTAGAGATTATTAAAGTATAAATCTAGTATAACTTTAACAGATACGTAGCTTATAATAAATATATATTACTTCTTTATACTTTATTTTAACTTTATAAATACTTTAATAAAAATTTAGCGTAAATATATTTTTAATTAGCTAAAAGATAGTAAAGATTAATAGATTCAATTAATTACTTACTTTAATAAAGAGTATCATATAATTATATACTATATATATATATAAGCTAAGATCTTTTAATATATTTAATATATAAAAATAAATCTAGCTTTTAAAATAATATAAGAAAAGATATAGATTTTCTCGCTTATAGAATAAAACGCGAATATTAATCGTAGATATAGCTTATACTCTACTTATAATTAATATATACTAACTATAAGTAGAAACTAATATCTATTATTATATTTTC